CTTGTAACGTGTGTTGAGTTATCTGCTAGCGCTTCGCTTAAGCCGGCCAACCGTCACATTCATGCACCCCTACTACCTTTCTCCGCGGAGTGGACAGTCCGGTTGGCCCTTTTGCCGTAGTGAAGAAATCTGTCTGCGAATCTTTTATAAGATCAATAAAATTTTCATTTATCCTTAAGACACGAAGGGCATCATGGAAAGCTATATGGAGTGCTTGGGAATGCTTTTTTAATATCCGTGTAAATGATGTGAAGAGGTTTCCGCTCATAGCGAGCATCGGATATGACATTCAGCAATACTGCGGCCTTGTGTGCCGCGTTGACCCCCTTTTTGTTACCGCCTTGATTAACTTCAATGCCTCCATGATCATGCAAAGTTTTTGTGAGACGCGCAAATTTAGTACACCTGTTACAATTTTATATATTGATGAAAGCAATGCTATTCCTCGGTAGTTGGTGTGAAAGAGCGGGTCACCATCTTTTGGGATAAAGACAAGTAATGCGTTCTTCATGCTGCCCGGGAAAGATTTTGCTGCAAGAACAGAGTCGACAAAGTCAAGAAGAAGTTTTTCAAAATTGTGATTTTTAAGCCGATCATGGTAGAGCATCACCCGAATAATTTCAAATTGAACACGGTCAATACCAGGCGCGGGAGTGCCGACGTTTTTAATTTATGTTGAAAGCTCTTCTTTTGTGATGGGATCCATCAAAGCTGCCTGATATGGAGCTAGACGCTCTCGGGTTTCCTTCCAAAGTTCGTTTTGCAACCAAGGCGGTGCTTGCTCTGTGGGAGTTTTAGGCATTTTGAAAGCACTATTAAGGTCAAGCTGATGTCCCCAGCTTTCATTGAGTTCTTCGCCAGAGACAAAACCATCGGTTCCATCATTTCTCTTCATCACACTTGGCAGTGCGGAAGCAGCATATTTGTGCGGCATGTGAATGGGTCTTCTCTTTTTCGAATTAGGCCGGTGTGTTCTATTCGCCTTATCAATTGCCTCCTTTTGCAACTTTTTGTCCGCAAGGACCTCCCTATCATAGATAGATTTCAACTGACCCAAGATCCGCTCGGCCGCTAAAATGTGATCCTCACAAACTTCAAGCGACCAGCTTTGATACATATCTGCATCAAGAATTGCAAAGTCGTTGATTGGCGATTGTAAGGTTTTTAAATCTCGCCAAACACATTGGATATGTTGTTCTTTACGAAAACCTAAGCAAACTCTTCCCATTTTGCAGTCGCGAAGATGTTTGACGGCCCGGAGATATCGAATTATCCATCTGAAATTTGCTTCCGCAAGTCCTTGCGCGCGTGATTTCCAGTCTTTCCGTTTCCTTGTGCTTGGCGGATACGCTTTTGCCGGAAGGTCTACAAAAATCCTTTGAAGATTTTCGTAGTGATCCTGCAGCGGCAGAGTATCGGTTGACATTGCACAGAATGTGCGCTTCTTCGCTTTTTCAGTCCATTCGTATGCCAGCTGGCAAAGATTGTCCATCTTTTTTCTATTTTCAACATTAATGTTGATTCGGGGTAGACGAAACTGTGTTTGCGGGTATTCCAACCAACCTTCGCACAGGGAGTGGAGATTTATGGACGTTAAAACTGGGCGATGGTCTGATAAATTGATGCCAAAGTCGGAAACTTGTGCCGGTTCACAGTGTTGTTTGTTTATTGTAGTGAAAACGCGATCAAGAAAAGAACGGTAGGTCAAATCCTTTTTCGCATATGTGTAGTCACTGTAGGGGCCTAGTTTGGAGACAGCCATTAAATCAGTAAGGTATATTCCATTCTCGTCGTAAAGGCTGGTCAAGAGGGTTTGTAGGTTTGAGTCTATGTGCTCTGAGCTGCATAGAGCATACCTATTCTCTGTATAGGTCCATATTGGGATCTTGATAGCTGTTCCAATCGCCACCCAAAACAAAATGACGATTGCCACTTTCGAAATCTGAAGCATGATTCTTGTGGAATTTCTGTATGTACTCATTCAATGCCGTCCAAAAAGGCTTATTGACCTCATTATCTTTTGAGGCGGGACCGTAAACACCAATAATGTCAATGGTCATTGGGGTTGACTGCCCATGGCCATCATTTTCTGTCGGCCTGCTCGGGACAATAAGTGTCCCATGCACAACACGTGCACCGAGGATGGCGTTGTTAACCTTTTGAATGTTGAAAGCAAGACCGGATTTGACAATAAGGCAGACGTCCCATATCATTTGTTCAGGGTTCATAAACTTAGCAGTATGTGATTTGTCATAATAGGAAGCTTTGAAGATGGTAAAACCATCATGCTTAGTTTCAGATTGACTGTGCTTTCCTACCGTCTTTCGTGTTTCGGTTATAATGGAAATTTGAATGTTATTTTGATCCATATAATTTAGAAGTTCTTTTTGCTTGTGATCTTGTGCCCCACCTAGCCCTCGTGCATTCCAATTGAGCATCTTTAGTGATTCGCTAATTGCTGTGGGCGAAGTCTTGCATTGGGGTACATGGTCATCTTCGACAGCGCAAGTAGACCTGTTCACCTTAGGACCTGGGTTTGGGTGTACGTCACCGCATAATAGAAGTAGTATAAGCAGCATAGAGTTTGAGGGTGCTGAAATCACCGTCTTGATTGACGAAAGCATCACAGCTGTTTGCAGCATAAAATATATGCAAGCTAGCCGGCCCAAACGTCTGTATGGTCGCAAAATGTGCTTAACTGCGCGAGCCTCGTTTTGAATATGATCTACTGCAAATAATGCAACCAGATGTATTGACGATACCGTGAATGCCTTTAAAACACGACCACAGTATGAGAGCATTTTCGAATTTCTTCTTGCAAAGCCTGCAAGCAGCTTGTAGGCCGATACCAGAGTAACGGGTATGATAGCCCCATTCGCATACTCATGATCCGGGAGAACATGTAAAAGTAATATTGCGTGAGCAACATAGTTTTTTGTGGTCCAGTAAATTGGCAATGAAAGGTAGAATTCTTCTAAAAACGTTTTAAACGAAAAGTCATCTGCTGCATATATTGCATGCACAAAATCATCGATAGATGCCCCCATCTGTCTGATCTGGGACGGCACCGAGCGGGACCGTTTACGCCATCTTACACGTTTTACTACATATGAAGCTGGCACTGTATGACAGCATTTGATTGAGCTAACAAGAAGAATAGTAAAGATGAATATCAATCGAGACTGCCTTCGTAAGAGCCTTTGTTTACGCCGCCGCAATGCGTGTAGCCTATGCCGAATTCCGAGGCGATGTTTGGTTGTGACTTTTTGAGAAAGCGCAGCATAGTATATCTTCAACTTAAAGTACCTGTCGTTTGCCTGAGTATTCCATATCGCTAAGCAGCATAATATTGAGGCTAACAGTGTTGCTTCCAAAGAAGCATGTTGCGGTACATAATCACTAGGGAAGGAGACAATCTGGGTGAAGCTGGGCGTCTGGGAATCTGGGGTGGGCAACTTCACTAAGGTGGTGCTCGTGCAGCTATGCGCGATTTTGAGTGGCGACCGCTGAGTTGGCGATGGTCTAATGATGAGCTTGGACAGTGAGTCACGCGCTTCACGGGAGCGTGCCACTTGGCTGCAAATTACGCAGCCTATTTTGCGTGCGAATAAATCGGATCCGTACGGTCGCTTTTGAGGTACAGGCAAGTCAACGTCACTGATGCCGTACAATGTGAACGCGCAACTTGCACAACAGGGAGTGTGTGAATGCCCCCCGCGGCAATGCAATGCAGTGGCAGTGTGCTCCATGCCGTGAAGAAATGGATGCAGCTACATGCAGGTTGTTGATATCAGTGGTGCAGCGAGGGCGCTGGGAGGCGTCCTCTGCGAGCCAGGAAGAAGGACGAGCGCATCTTTCACCAGGCCAATTTTTAAAGCTGGCCACAGATTGGGTTTTTTGGACCTTGCTTCGTTTGCGCCCCTGACGAGAACGCATCACATTGGTTGAGTCAGCCCTACACCTGTCACTGTCTCGATAAGCTGCTTGTTTCTGCCTTTCCTCGTCCAAGATGGCTTCGGACGTCAACACAGACAGCCCCGTTGCAAAGGAGCTGAAGCCCGATGCAAGGGGGAAGCCAGCTGGGGGGGGCGAGTTCATGCATCCCACAAAGGACTTGAGCTCAGCGACTAAGGTGCCCCTTTTCAAACGGCTGATGAAAAGAGAGGTACTGCTTCAATCAATGCCAGCTGACCAGCTCCTGGCATGTTTATAGTGTCATCTGTCAGGATCAGCAGAAGGTTGGCCTCTCGTCTGGGATTCCTGGATTGCTCCCAGGTGCTCAGGAGCTCGCAAAAGAAAGTTTCACATTGCACGACCAGTGAGGAGGAAGAATGGAGCAAGACTTACGCCAAAGCGGCATCGGTGCACTGAATCACCTCCGTGTCGAAGTACTCAATCACAGGCCTGCTGCGGGTCAGCTATTTTGAAAAAGCTGGCAGTAACCGCATGCTTTCGCCCGGCCAAAACAACCATGTTTCGGAAGGGGTTCAATTATTTGAAGTACCTTCTTCTGAGAGGATGCTGTTGGAACCAGGTAAGTCTCAGATACTTACAAGCTAAACGCGCAGGACACGTCAGCTTTAATGGCTTTCGGTAGCCTCAAGACAGTCCAAGAGCTTGTTGTCAAAATCTTCTTTTCGTATTTTTCAGTGTTCTAGTAGGTGTGCGCATGTGTAATGTTTTTGGTCAAACATTGGAAATGGCGAACATAGATACATTGTCATTTGTTTAAGTAACTTAACCGTCAAGGCTGTCATTCATGCAAACACAACATTTGATAACACTTGTCTGTTTTTTCCTTCTGGTTTCAGAAAACGCTTGTTTGATACTTCTGCTGTGAACTGCCAGCTCGCCTCTCTAACGTCTGGCTGCATGTCTTCTCATGCTTTGGCTATTGAAAATAACTTTAATTTTTAAGAAGCAGATCAGTCCTCCATATTGTTGAGGTCGTCAGCTCCTGAATCAGACTGCAGCAGATGCAGGCTTAACAGTATCATCAAGATAACGATAGCTCCTCACATTCTTTTAAGATTCTTGTATTCAGGGCAACAGAAGATCCATACGCCTCTAGTAGTGATCTCATGGTTTTGTTGTGCAGCTCTTACCAGTTCTGCCCCTCTTTCTCGCTGTTGGGACAGCCATTAGCCTTGCCGGCTGGTCGGTGAACAGGCAGCTGCTCAAACAACCCGAGGTCCGTACTAGGTGAGTACTGGTATATCAGTCAGAGTCTTTTGCATATTCTGTTTAAGGGGACTCTTGCTTCATGCGAGGTTGCAGAGTTGTTCCTGAGTTGTGAATGTCTTCTCGCACAGTCTGTGAAGGGTAGGGATACTTCAGAGTCAGCAGGGTTGAAAGCTCTTAAAGAGCCTGGAAAAGCAGTAGAGTGACCAATTGCATTGCGAGCTCAAAGCTGACCTTACGTTCGGCTCGTTCAAGGTGATGGGAATGGGTATGAATATGCAGTGCGACTTCGAGAAATTGTCGTTCAAAGATGCCAAGCTGCTTAGACGCAGATTTCTGAAATGTCAAAGGGTTATTTCCAAGTCAACTAGGTAGTTCAATCAATGTTCAGAGCCAAAAGCTGTATAAAAAGACACTTATAAGAATTGGGGACAAAGAGGGAGGGTAACACGATTGAGCGTGAATTGGTAACTCCAATGCGTCATGATATGATGTTGCAGCTTGAACAAAGACCGGCGTTCTGGCGAGGTACCTGAGATCGACAACCCTGAGGAGATGACTGACAGAGGGAAGCAGTACTTGGAGAAGACCATGACTAGGGACACTCTCAGGGTGAGAATCTTCCAGCTATACTGGGAGGATTTGGGCAGAGTTTTCTTTCGTAATCTCTACACGATTTTGGGGTGGCATCCTTTCTTTATCTTATGCACGGACTACCATCAAAGGTCCAGTCAGGTTTATTGCACACCACTCTATCAGTTGCTTTGCGTAGATGCAGATGGTGACGCTTTTTTTACTTTCTTTCACTCCCACGTCTACTTGTCAGGAGAAGAGCCTTCAAAATAAGGGCATTTGCGGATCTGCATGTTTGACATTTCCTTCCCAGGTAACTAAGGAGTTTGGCGGTTTCTCAAATTCTGTTCCTCTGCTTTTCTCTGATTCATCTCATAAATCATTTCGCAACGGAAGGCTTACCCCTTCAGCGCCTGTGCAGCTCTCTTTCGCGACTGTCTGTCCAATTTAGAGTCGCATACATCGTTTTACGTGAAAACGTTGCCTGGATTGAAGCTTTCCAAAAGCAGATTGCAGGTACCCCTGTCTCGGGTGCCATGGAAGAAGAGATTCAGAAGGTCCTAGTTCGGTTTTCGGTGGCTATTACTAAAGCAAGCTCTTTGCACCAAGATGCAAGAGTTTGCTGCGGTTCTTAAGTCGCCTTTGAGAAGTGGCCGTCCGTGAAGCACCCCTCCATACCGAAGTTGCCTAACAATCTCTCGCGCACAAACCTTGGTCTCAATCTTTCCTCGACCGTCCGATTTTCCAGAGAATTCTGGCACGGAACCCGTTTCAAGTTCCGTCAATTGCCCCGGTCGATGCATGGCTGGTTGAGAAAGATTCATAGACCAAGGGTGACAAACTGCTTCAAGTACTCTACTCAACAGCCTGGAACTTGTGGCTCATGTGTGAATCCTTCTGATCTATCAACTTGCGCAAGGTTGACACAGGTTCTTTGCCGTGAAAGAGACCTGCACCTTTACCTATAAAGGTTAAGGTGCAGGCTGCGGAACCGTAACCCAAGAGTTAACTCTGTTGCTTCCGCTCGTTTCGTCAAGAAATCCCAGTTCTGCGCTTGCTAATCGAAAAGTCTTTGTCTCGCAGAAGCCGATTTTTGCTCCAATTCTGCGCTTCTTCTCCGTCCCTTCTCAGTCCAAGGAGGAGGAGGCGATTAACAGTCAGGCCAAGGGAAAAAGCCTCAAAATGTGAGCCTGGTCGCGATGTAGTCGAACTTCTACACGCTACCGCCCTGCTATGGTCCTTCGAAAGCCTTTTGGTACTCGCGAAAAATCGGCTCTTGTGGTTTCGGTGAGAAGGACCTTTGCGAATTGTTCAGAGAAGAGTTCGTTAGGGTGTTGCAAGGCGTTGCTGGTACGGCTTAGGGGCTTGACAACGGGTTAATCTGGGGTTGACAAGGCGTGACTCTCGCTTCCAGTCAGCCAGGCGAATCGGTCTTCCGTGTTGAGCTTGTAACAGATGGTACAACGAGGTCAGACAGTACCCCGTTGCCATTCGGGTCACTCGAAAGCGTTTCGCCTCTGTTTAAGTTTTCTCCTGCTTGCCAAAGACGTACAGATGCTTGCGTTAGTGGTTGAGAGCAAGATGTCAGCCAAAATAGGTCGCGAGGAACGCTCAGCCCGTGTGTCCATCACACTTTTCTTGCTTTGACCAAGTCAAGCAGCTCCGTCTTAGCTGACAGTCCTCTATCTAGTGTCTTACTTGCGGTTGGCGGTTAACGTCATTTTCAAGGTCCACTTAGAGTCTGCACAATTCTTCAGTGATCGACGGACTAAATGGGTGTTTTCGGATGCAGGTCACTGGAAGTACCCAAGGGTCGCGTGCAGACATGAACAACCCAGATACTCAGAGGTGGGCTGTAAATACGCATATGCACTTCTCGTTTCTCGGCCCAAATTTCAATGACGCGGCAGCCTGAATCAAGGTGGGTTCAGGACGGTGTCCAAATGGCCGTCAGCGGTGTAAATAGACATGGCGCACGAGTGAAAGGCTCGCATGTACCATATACCCGGCCCGCCGTTGTTCACAGCAGGATTTCAACTTAGACAAGGCACTTTAAAATGTCGTTTTCTAAAGCGCTTGTTAGGTTCGCCTGCGTTGGCGCAAAGCCGAATTAGATATATGAACTATGCAGCAGGCTTGATTGGCATATGTAGATTTGACAATAGACACGATAGCTAGAGCCTGCAACAGTCGAGGACATAGTGCAACATGTATTGGGCAAGCATACAGACTGGCAGTGTTTGATGATACTAGTTACCTGGCACATGCCAGTTGATCGACAGATAGAACTTTGTGTGTAACTCTTTCTACCGTCACCGATCACGAATGCGGTTACACGCCATAAAATGCATGGCGCCGTGTCGAGTCCTGAAGACTTAATCGTAAAAACGGCTGACTCAGGCACTAGTACGAGCCTAGGTCTCAGTCTAAACTAGCTTAGCAATATAAGGCTTGCTCAACTTTGATAGCCTGACAACTATAGCTGATGCCCGCCGCAAACATCGTCTCTCCTCTGTCTTTGCGCGGTTTTCAGTGGAAGGGGCTCGCTGAGTCAACTTGTTTTTATGCACATGTAAGTGATATCCGACAAAGCTGGACAGTACGTGGTCATACTCAGGCATGTGGCCCATGCATGGTACACGTCTGCGCTTCGAGCCATATTCCGCGTTCAATATGTTCAAATGATTTCATATGCGGACCCAAATCGTGGCCGGGCCATGCATGCATATTGAACCGTCCTGTATGCACAGCTATATGGCCGGGCATGGGCGCGGCCGCTTGCGTTGACTTTGTTTTGTGGTGTTATCAAGTATCCCGCTACCAGGCTGCGCAGGCCGAACCGCACGCTCATTTCGTGTGCCACGGCTACAATGCCAACTTCGCAAGCTTGGGCATGCTGGCAATTGCTTCAAGATCCACTATTCAAAGGATCGTGAATTATCGGTCATCTTACTAAAATAACCAATAACGTAACGTTATGTTAATCTGTGTTGTCAAAATAATGTTGCAGTTCGGAAATGGCCGCCTTTAGAGTCTCCTTTTTCTTGCATATAGCAACACGAACGTACTCTTTAGAATAATCAGTTGACAGCGTGGAACAATAATCTTGGTTCTCGTTTATGATTTCGTCGACCGATGCATGGCCGGTAAGGTGAGGAGACCCGTCATCTCCTGGACCGGCAGTTCGGGTACCATTTGCAACAGCGGAACCACCAGTGACAGACGCACGGGGGGATGGACTATGAAAGAAGATTGAACCAGGAACGATCGCCACTCCCGCCTCTTCAATCAACGTCGACACAAAGGACACCTGCAATTCAAACAAAGCACTCTTGTCAAATCTAAGTCACCGGCAGTGGTATTATTGACCGTACACTTGGCGGCCTTACGAAGCTTCACTTTTCTGCCGGATGTTGAGCGTACATCAATGCAAAGCCGGTTTCTCCTGCGAACAATTGCCCACTCAAACGGTTTGGACGGCTGAGAACCAAGGCAGTCGGCCAATATCTCAGAGAAGAGCCCACTGCGCCATCCCGACAAGATCGGGTCAAAATAGAATCCTAGTAGAGTTTCACATCGAACCTGAAACGGGCAGTGTAAGCTGCACGTATTGCGCAACCTGAGCGTCCGTTATATTTGAAGCGAACTCCCGTCCGTTCAATAGTGCAGTGGGGTTGGGACGACAGATATCAAGTTTGACGGGACACCAAAAGATCTCCACTCAAAACAGGACAAGGGCAAAAACGTTATCTCGTTACACGATAACCAGCTTTCGAAACGACTCCACAACACGTTCCCGGGCTTTGATTGCAGCTTTGGTACAGCAGCAACAAAGAGGACGAGGGAAAGGAAGGAAGACGCAGACGCACGTCGTCACAACCGTGTCGGAATCGCTCCGGGATCCTCGCAAAGACGAAGAAGCCCCCTTTCGGCCGCGTCTCGATCTCGAACTCCTCCCCCTCGAGCGCGTCACAAACCAAGTCCCTTCGCTCCTGGTACTCTTGCCGTAGCTGCCGGTAGTAGCTGACGTCACTTTGGAGCGCGCTGACGGCAGCCTCTTGGAACGGGGCGGGCGCGGAGTCGGTGAGCTTGACGTGGAGATTGCTGATGGCGGAGGCGATGTCGGGCGGCGCGATGGCCCAGCCGATCCGCCAGCCTGCAGAGCGACACGTGGCGAGATGCTGTCGGGTCGAGAAGAGCGGAATTAACAGGTTGGTGAGCCCTTTTCGACGGCGTGACCGCAGACTAGCGTCGTATTGGCAGGTGCGAATGATCCTCGGAAGATCAAGCTAAGGTACCGAAGCTAGAAACAAGCTACACACCTTTCAGAGTTCGCATCGGCCTGAAACAACAGTTCACATTTGACGAGAGCTTCGACCTGCAAAAACATTTCATATTTGACGAAGAGCTTCGAAAGCTCTTGACATGTGTTGTGCTGTGCCGAGATCCAAAAAGCCTTCGATCCAGATCCAAGAACGGCTTCAAGCATCTTAGTGAACGGCGGGGCGGGCGGAACTCTTTCTCTCGGGCGACAGCCTCACCCGTGACAGAGAACGTCTTGGACAAGGATGACGTCACGACCGTGCGCTCGCGCATGCCCGGGAAGGAGGCCAGGCTCCGGTGCTCGACGTCATCATACGTCAGATCCTCGTACACCTGCACAGCGGCTGAAGGCGGCTTCCTACGCAAACCCCTCGAAGAACTAGAGTGGGAAGTTTCCCTTGCGCGTCTATTCTTTTGAACTTCGATGATGGAACAAAGGTCCTAATATGCACGTCAAAAGTGCCATGGCAAGCGGCGAACGGGGGGGGACGTCAGCGCCCTCACCTCGTCCGTCAACGCCAGCAAGTTTTCGGATGTGCACACTCGAGCTATGATTGCTAGCTCGGCGTCGGTGAAGACCTTGCCTGTCGGGTTGTGGGGGCTGCAACAAAGAGGAAGATCAGGATCGACCTTTGATTCGAGTCTACTTGCAAGCTTACTTTATTCATTGTGAGGTCTCCTCGAAAGAAGTTGCGGCTTGCTGTGCTTCTGTGCTCGGCTAACGATTGAAAGGCAGGCTTGAGGGTGATAGGAACCGTGACTGGACTGGGCTTCGGTCCCAAAATCACTCACTGCCTTTCAGCAACTATTCACAACACAACGTACCTGTTTACGACGATGGCCTTACATCGCGGCCCTACTGCCGCCAAAAGCTCTTCCTCCCGAAAACTCCAGTTCGGGGGGTACAGTTGGCAGTGGCGTACGACCCCCCCGGCCATGGCCACATTGGCGGGGTAGGTCTCATATGTCGGATTGAACAGAACGACTTCGTCCCCAGGATTGACAACTGAGAAAACACGAGGAATCACGAGGTTAACGAAGCAATCGTGATACAGATTTTTCCAATAAAATTTCAATACTATGCAAAGATGGGAATAATACAGGCCTGCTGTTGAGAACCTGAGGGGATTGAGCTACCTGTGGCTGTAGACTTCGAAGGTAGTTTTCAAAGAGAAGCGACACGTTTGAATTGGAAACCTGGGTCATCTGGACCTAGACAAGCTGACCTGTAAAGCCACTCTGTCCCTAATGCTTCTGCCAATGCTAACCTAACTTCCCATAAAATCGAGAAGAATCCACTCTCCTTCAGCAAGAACCGCGACCAGAAGAAGCTCTAGACGTAGCATTCCTCACCAGCTAGGACTGCAGCCGCCATTGCCTCTGTCTGGCCGCATGTGATCACCACCTCTGTAGCTGGGTCTATTTGAAGCGGGGGATGCACAGAACCATGCCGCGCTGAGAAACGCTTTGCAATGAGCTCACACAGCTGAGGGACATGCCTGCAGCCAAAGGAGTGCCTGCCTTTGTTTCTAATAAAGGGACCTGCCACGACTCATGGTCTCATCTGGTCAACAATGTCCATTTCTGAAAGAGGCCTTCACGCTTCTCCCTCATGTTTCCCGTTGACAAGCTGAGACCAGGAATTCTCCAAGGGAATTATTTAAGGGGATGCGGCGCTGAGATGCGCAGCGCCAGCAGTAAGAGAACAAGGTAATGCACGTCCTTGAGAATATTATTACCGTGTCCCCAGTGTCTTTGATGTGTGCTAGGCCCAGAAAGACCCACAAGACAAGAGCCACCTTTCGTAAGCTCCTGAAACGCAGCGACCTTTACTTAAGAAGCAGTTTCCTGAGAGTTATGGAGGCCGCATGGTGCTTCCAAGCACGCTTCTACGATGTCAGCTCAGGCGCAATAAACTCACCTGTACTGGTTGAGGTCTTCTATGATCGCTTTGATCGCCTCTTCTTTTAGCAGGCTGGGGGCAGCAAAGTCAGGGAAGCCTGCAAGGGGTTTGCAGCAACAAGTTGGAGGGCACATGAGTAACACCACCCGGACAAGCTCCCTCAAAGATACAGATACGTCAATAAGTGAGGTTACGAAGATGGCTTAGCAGTGCTGTAGGGGGACAAGCTGAACCATGACAATGTGAGTCCTAGCCCCCTCGACACGAACACTACCACCATCTTTCAGGCGCAAGCAGACACAGGCGTGATGGATGAAGAGTGCGATACCTTCCGCTAGGTTGATGGCACCACATCTCTCCGCAAGCCTCGAGGTCTCTTGAATCACGGAAGGAGTGAAGGTCAATGCTCTGTCTGAAAGGAAGCCTTTCGACATGTTGCGAGCTGGCGCAAGCTGAGCGGATGAGTTTTTTAAGAAGTGAGTGAGTTCAGAGATCAGTGTTCATGTCATTAGAGTTCTTGCAGCTGCGACTTTTCCTGCAGCTTCTTTGGACCTTGGACTTGAACTTGGAGGGGCGCTCAAGCAAATGCTGCTTCTTCTCCTGCTGCTTGTCGTCGTTGTGAACCTTGGCGCCGCAAGGAATCCTTTTGAAAAGGGCTTTCTTATGTTCTTTTGCTCTTTTTGGTTGACACACAATCTTTTACGCACGATTGTCTTATTGTTTTGTAACATACTCGAGTGTCAAAACATTGATCCGCCAAAAAAAAGGAAAAGAAAAGCTGGCTGCTGCGCTATTTAACAAAGTTCTGTTTTCTTGAGCTCAGTCCACTTTGAAGTTGTTTGAACAGCGTTCGTCTGCACAAATTGGCGCCTCCCTCGATCAGGGCAGCAACCCAGTGAAGTTCTGATCGCAGTGTTTTAGGGAGCTGGCAGCAGTTTCTTGCGATCTGCTGGATTCCGTTTGTGTCTACTATCCCCTGGCCAAGCATTGCTTCCCTGCCCGTGCAGCAAGTTTTCTGTTCGGAAAGTTTGGTGCTCGAAGAAAGCAGGGAGGTTCAGAACTGCGTTACGGCGCTGTCCAGCTTAGTGCAGCTCAGATGAAGAGTTCCAATCGCTTTTGGGAGCTCCTCGTCTTTGCATCCACCATAAACAAGTACATTTAAAGTCACAGCATTGCATTTTTTGTCCTACGGTTCAGATCATTACGCAGAAGAACTTATTCCAAAGAATCCAAGAACTGCCTTTATATAAACTCGGTTACAACTCTGGTTTCTCTAGACCATCTTTGAGCACGCTCACAAGGCCGCATTGCATCGCCAATCCAATGACGTCCTCTGATAGCGAAGGCGTCGAACTGAAACACGACCGTCCCACTTATGTCTTCTCAAGGCTCTCGCCAAACCTCACCAAGGTTGTGGAGTACGACTCCTTTACTCAATATCCCTTCCTGTATCTCATACATGGCAAAGACAAGCTTGTCTTGCTAGACACGGGATGTGGGTCGGGTGATCTTGCTGGATTTGTGACCAGTCACGAACTAAACCCGCGCAAGCTGCCGGTCTATGTGGTCTGTAGTCATAGCCACTTTGACCACATTGGCGGCAACTGGCACTTTAGTGGGCCGGGGGGGAAGGCTTCCTTCTGTGTGGAGCTGGCGTTTGGGGAGGGCCGGCGCGATTACACGGAACACTGGAAAGCAAACATCTTTGGGGACCAGGTCAAAGACTTTGCCATCACGAAGTGGCTGGCGGATGGGGAAACTATTCAGTAAGTCACCTAATGTTGGCTTTTGATCCCAGCGAATAGAAAGATATGCGGTTGCAAAACTACTTGAGGTAGGTTAAGAACAGGGCATTTGGAAGTAGGTGCATGCAGTGTGTGTGGTCCTTATCCACCAATCTGAGGCAGGCTTTTTGAATGTCAAATTGACCCCCCCTGGAGGATGATTTTCTGAAGTTGAAAGATTGAGGGACTTCCGCAGCTTCAAAACAGAGTTGAGAGAGTGTTTTCAGTTGCAAACACTTATTGTTTCTCGCTTTCAAAGCTAGGTGCAATGAGGAATTGCAAGATGTGATCAGTTGGTGGTCGACTTGCTGCAAATCGGCCAGCCTGTGAGGTTAATCACTGCTGATAATCAGGGCTTGAGTAACTTCATCACATGACTGAAATGCACTGTATGCAGATGGGTGATCAGCTGGTGGTTGGATTCTTACAAACCCGCCAGCCTGTTCTTAAACAAAGCTAACAACCAGGGCTCGTGTAATTTCGTAATTTGACTGATCTGCCTGTATGCAGGATGGGTCCCGAGCCCGACACTACCGAAGACATCAGAGTGATCCACACCCCAGGGCACACACCTGACGAGATCGCGCTGTATTACGCCAAGGAAAGGCGGCTCTTTGTTGGGGACAGCTTCTACCAGTGGCAGCCGATCTTCATCCCAAAAGATGGCGAGAGTTTGGACGCATTCAAAGGATCGGTGTCAAGACTGCTTACGTTGGTCGAGTCGGAAGAGGCAAAGGATTCGCAGGCGAGTCCGATTGTCATGTGCTGTGGCCATGTCGACGATTTCCTGCCGGCGAGAACGGCCCTTCAACAGGTTGAGAAGTTGGTGTCGGGGATACAGGACGGGTCTCTACCGCATATCAAGAATACAGCGTTTGGCATGCAGCTGGACGAGTACAGATTAGACAGCTTTTCGATTGGGTTCATGCAAGATGCGCTTGCTGAAAACAGTACGTGTTGTTACTCAGGCAGTGGGCACACGCATCAATAGCTTAATACGGCGTACATAACATAGTCCTGCACGCTAGCACCTTCTACTTAGATATATCAACTGAGATGCTTATAAGACTCTCAAAAATTCGCTGACAACGAAATTTATGTATATTGTCAAATCCTTGCAGTATAGCTGTCCAAGTATCCGGATAACTTGAGTGGTTTTGTTGACACTCCTTCGATTGTCATTGGCCGGCCAGACCCGTTCACTATAGGTAGTAGTTTCCTGAGTCTGGCATCGACAGAAGCATGATGTATTGCGGGCCAATCAAAACCAAACCACTGAACAGCGGCCAGCTCTGCAGCTATCTGGCGGCCACCGTCACAAACTTAAAATGACATTGGCGTTTACTACCCTACCATTATTTTTCTGAGAGCCAAGGATTCCCTAGGAATCATGACATGTGATAGCTGTACTATATACCGTACGTCCGGCGGCCAGTCCCTACTATAAGGGGTATGTACATGGAAAAGCTGTACAATGGATCCATGCAGGCGCCTGTCTCTAGTTCCATGTGCATCTCGTAGAACTAGCCTGTCATCAATTGAGACGATTTTAGTGGTATGACCGCGCAGACGTATGATACGCAGTCCGGTCACCATGCCACATCGTTCCAACTCGACAAGCATAAGCATATACTTGCGAACTTCCTCAACACTGATTTTGACTTAACGGGCACACGAATCGGATGGTGAACATATGCAGCCTCCATGTGCAAAATATCGTCAGTTAAGAAGCACTGACTGGGTGTCGCATGTACCCATGATGCCAAATGATGCCAAATGAACAACTGAGCGGGCGGCTGATAGGGAGAAGGAGTGGCCTGGTTTGAAAAGTCGTTTAGTGTCTGCGCATGTCACTCACTGTTGGCTAAGCTCAGCCTTCTTCTTCGCCCAAAGTCTGTCAAGCGCGCTGTCCCCATCACCCTGCAAGCAAAGGGCACAACAAATAAATCGAATGAAACTTCGAAAATGATATTCAAAGGCTTGTTCAGTTAGGACCAAGTGCACAAACTAAACTTCTCTTCGAAAGATGCAAGAGGAAACTAAACAGTCCATACAACAAGCAATCGCCCAAACTCTAGGCCTGATGAGAAGCTTTGTCCAGTAGACCCCGGAGCCCTAAAAGCAAGCTCGCTTCGAGCTTTACAGGGAAGCGTATCAGCAATTATTCTGCGGTTCAAAAAAAAGATTCAAACATCCGTGGGAAGAATTGACCCGCAGAAAACTTCCCCAGCTTACATCTAAGGTCCACAAGTTGCCAACAACCGAAGCAGTAAGATTCGAGCCGCTAAACTCTCCAGAATACAGACTCATCAAAAACGGAAAGTAAACAATTGAATAGAAAATACAGGGCGAAACAGTCTACCAAGAAGAAACACTTCTAGGTGGCCCATCTGCCATGAAGCCAGGAAGCAAGACACAATAGCTCTTCCAACTTCAGCCCTTCCAACCAGCTCGTTTACAATAAGGTACTGACAAATGTACTAACCTGCGCCCTAACCGGTCCCGCAAGAGCAAAGGTCGTGTACTGGCCCGTGTACACACCGTTCTCGTCTAGGTGCCCAACATTGATCTGGATGGACGCATGGTCCTTGGAGGTGATGAGCCGGTTAGTGGCGGAGCTGCAAGAGGAAGCATACGGACAAAGTCAACTTCGGTCCGGGTCACGCACCCATCAGAGCTCTGCCGTATCGCCCCTCCGCCCCCCCCTTCTCCTCTCGACCCCACCTTCTCCTCTTGACCCCATGCTTTTCTTCCCTATCCTTATTGTCTGATTTTTGACTTAGCTCTTTCACAAACTGCTGGCGCCCTGAGTGCGGCACCTTGAGGCTTAGCGAAAGCTCCGGAGAACATCTCAAGCTTTCCATCAGCCCGGAGGTGTCCTAGTAGCACAAGGCGCCACGTCGAGCGTTGCTAGTGCTATTCCAGTTTGCTTGATGCCAGAACTGCCTGCTTTGTAACCTGGTTGAGTAAGGTTCAAAGCATCCACATGCTTAGAGTCCACTCGTGATCACCTCCCTACGAAGACAAAAGTGCACTTGCCGCAACCGAAGTGCTGCGGTGCCTTCAGCTTTCACAATTAACTCTTTCAGATCGATCGGTTGATCTTTAAAAAGCCTTGCCCCAGTGAAATTGTGATCTAAGAAGAGTTTGCGCTCCTTGAAAAAGAAAGAAAATCCCATCATCAGAAAACTCCAACGGGCAAACTTGCCACAAGCAGACAACTACTCTGAAATCAATTTTTTTTTCACAAAATGGAAAGAGCAACTGATGTGCTTCCAATTTCGAACGAGGTTGGTATGTGAGGGCCTCCTTCGTGAAAGTGAACCCCTTGCTTGAAATTGCTTTCATGCCGCTAAGTTTTTGCCCGTAGAAATGAAGAATAAACCAGCTTCACTTATTGAGTTTTCAGAACCTGGTAAACGCACTACAGAAGATCCTGTATGCACCCAGGAGTACAGTGGATGAAGTGCACCGGGCAATATAAAACAAGGGCAGTTATTGAGAAGCCTAGCCGAATAAACTTGCGGGCGCTACTGCTTGTCTCGTGGCAGGAGCACCCAGCAATGAGCGGAACTTGCGAACCATTACCAGGACCATTACCATCAACACCGCTATCCAATGCGCCCCTGCTGGCGCCACCGCCCAAAACCCAAGTCACTGCTCACGGAGCCTCTGAAAGCAAACTAGGTCTATATCACTTGCCGGGTTCTCGAAGCCTGCCAAACTTCCTTCAATGGACAGAACAGCCGCATCTTTTACTGGCATCGTTCAACGTGCATTGCCATCAGGGCCCGAGAGTGAAGCAAAGCGCCCTCACCATTTCCTAGGGATGTACAGATCAACGTTCTCTCCCTCCTCGTTCTGCATGGTTGCGGAGTGCGTGCGACGGACAGCCGAAGAGCCACAGGAAGGAGGGCCGCCTCTGAGCCTTGGTCACAGAACAGCAGGGACCGAAAGAGGAAGGAGGTGGGGCGTTCGAAAGGCTTAATTCACCTGTCACAAGTCCTGTGCACTGAACGAAAGAATGACTGGGTACTTTTCCGCAACCAAGCGTATTCGAAGGCCTCGGCGAGGATCGCCGGTGCTCATGTTGGGTTGACCAGGTGGTCTCTTCTCGGGAATCACTCCCCGGGTATGAGATCCACCGGCCAATGATTTATGACGGGATAGAAGCAATATTGTACCCATGCCTCAAGCTCCAGCTTGATCTTGAGGTTGCAGACCATCAGGACAGAGGATCGACGCCATCCCCCAAAAACGTCCACCAGTGGGGCTTCAGATTCCAGGTCCTGGGCATACAACATAATCATCTCTGCTTCTGCTTTCCTCCAAGCCGTGTCCTTAGCGACAAACGAACTGGAGCCGGTGCCGGTTCTAGCACGTAAGAGTATCTGACTGCATGGTAGCGGTGTCTAGCAGCAATTGCTCTTTTGTTTGGCGCCGTCAATCGCATCGGGAAGGTTATCTGGTGGTGGTACTTTCATACAGCCTGAGGCTCCGGGAGGACAGTTGAGATGCGCGCTCGGTAAGCGAATACTGTCCGTTAGTCCATTGAAACTTAATCATTTGTGAGGAAAAGTGGTGGCATTCTATGGAACCCTGAATCTCAAACACCACTCAACCAGTGGTGCAAGTGCATATTTTGGTCGTGTCCGCTTCGACTCAAAGATCACAAATGTAACGTATTTCCCTGATTGAAAGTTGGAAAAGTGCAGTCTACATTGAATGCAGATACTGATCAAATACCAAAAGTTTGTCAACCAAACTCAAGGCTTCGTCCCCCGTTCTGCAGTAGCAACTTTAAAAAATACATCTGCCACAAGACACTGCTAAGATATGGGCGAAGGTATAAGCCTCCCTGGGCGGACCTTTCGATTTTCTAAGGTCTTCTCTCATTCTAGGTGCCTTGAGGACGTTGAATCATAATGGGGGCTATGGATCCTGCAATGCCTCAGCAGTTGCCTCAGTCCTTCCGAGACTTTTGTGCCGCCAACAACATCAATGAAGGTATCTACCGCTCCGACCAGAACCTGCCAAGATACGTAAGGTAGGACACCCCGAGACTATCCTGCAGCCCGTTGAGCTGGCAGACAAGCTTGCCCCAGACTGGAGCAGAAACAAAAAGGCAGTTCTAGCAAGAAGAAAACGTGTCCATATTTAGTCGTGGTTCTAGCAGGCAGCTATGACAAATGAAGTCATGGCTACAGCTTTGGAGCTTTGAAGAAGGATCCAAATGATCGGAATGCCAACTTTGAGACCTACAGACTCTTACTCGCCATTTGAGCAAGGATACCTGCAAAGCAAAGGAACTTTCTGTTGCCTCTTCGAGGTGGCCACCTTTCAAGTCCTCTTATTAGAAGAGGAGTGTTGACACTGCTTTCAGAAATGAAGACTCTTGAATAGTCATGTCTTGTGCTGTCAAGTAGATTGCCCAGTTTTGGACAGCTAAGACAAAGGTCGGCAGCTCGTGACCGATAAGTCAGTTCAAGGATTTCCTCACTGCAGGTTCAAAGCGCCTCCGTCTGCTGACATCATCGCCGCAGTCTGCGAGCAGCTCGGGGCGCAGCTGGAGCCAGTCCGCTGGCTACCGGGCTTTTTCGCACTGCCCCAGAATGTAAAGATTGCGGGGTCGGAGGCATACAAAAAGGGCCAGGTGAGAATCTGTTAGGGACCCGGTTCTCAAGCTTGATTCCTTTCTGGACACTGATTGAAGGCTGGAAATGCTGCTTGGTTGCGGCAAAGCATATGAAGGAGAGACTGTTTTCCTCCTCCTCTGATCGACCTGTATTAGTACAATTGTGGCTGTTAAAATGAGATTTGAAAAGAGCCTAAGCCCTCGTTCTTAAATTCCCCGTAACGCTGTCCAGGTTTTAGAAATTCTGACTTAGTCTTCTGTGTTCCGTTCAGATATTTGGCATCGACGCTTCCTCAGGGGCTGCGGTGGAGGCGCTCGATGTGCGACCAGGAGACAACGTCCTGGACTTGTGTGCCGCACCAGGCAAGCGTCCTTTCGAGTCCTTCGAGTGTGTGTAAGGAACAATCGGGGGACCTCTTTCGTCATACTTCTTAACGGTCGGGAAAGCGACGGTTCTGTCCATTTTCAATAATCCAAAGAAAATTCTTTGGTCACAATTTCGTTAAGCCGGAGCCTTTGAGTCCTTCATAATGTCCCGATGGAAGTCTTGGTTTTTTCCGGACAGTACGAACATCTGTCCTTTCCGGTCTGCGTCATTGGTTGTCTGCCTCGTTGCATCTGATCAGCTTCTCTGAGCGCACTCCAGCAGCTCCTTTGCAGCCTTGTATAGCTTCCATGAAGGGACTTTCGAAACACAACTTCCTTGATATTCATGCGAAGCCGGGCTCATATGGCCCAGAAAGGGTGTCGGTCCACCTTTTTGTTGACATAAAATGCTTTTTTGGCCTTTGTTCGGAACGCAACCAAACCCGAGCGCCCTAGAAGAGGGACCACGTTTTAGGTTCAAGTAGGTGTTCATCGTATTCCTAAATGGTTGGGAGTGCTTGAAACCCTTTTGTCTCGCAGTTTGTGCATTGCAGACTGGCGCTCGATGCCTGGTGCCTGCCTTTTATCAAGCCCGGAAAAAGCATCGACTTTCCGATGCATGAGCTATCTAGCAGAAAAGATTCATAACGCCTCCTATCTAAACGCTCCTCTATTTCTCCTTCAGGCGCCAAGCTGTGCTTGATATCCGACCACGTGTCACCCTCCGGTACCGCGACAGGTGTCGACATCTCTCCGCCTCGATTAGCCGCCACCCGCACTCTTCTGCGCAAGTACGGGGCTGCGCATAATTGCCGGCTTTTTCTGGCAGACGGCACGACATTCAGCGAACGGCCGCCTACCAGACACGTACTCCGACAGTTCAGCAAACAAACAGGGTTGGAACAAGGGAGCGAAGCGAAGGGGCGTGGTATTCATTTGGAAGGTGTTGACGTGAGTATCAACGAGGAAGGGGCGAGGAGAAGTTGTGAAGTGGACGAGGATCGGGGGTTTGGTTTCGGGGAAATTTGCACGGAGAGCGCTGTCGAAGCGCAGGGACAGAGTCGAAAAAGCGACGGGCGCATTGCAATTCCCAATCCGAAAAGCGGTACCGATTCATTACAAACTGCGAGGGAGTGCGAAATTTCGAGAAGCCTCGACACTGCAGCAGTTCAGTTGGGTAAAACGCCTTCACCGGTGCAATCATTAGAAGGAACAGCGCTAGAGGAGAGGCAGCCAGCGAACGTTGAAGCGTGCGGCACTGAAATAGGCCCGACCGAAGGTTCCGAGTCCCTTGACATCAGCGAAAAGCGAAGTGAGCGAGAGGGGGAGAGTCGAAAGAAGGAGCGTCGGAGGCGGCGGCCGATTGGTGGGTCAGAAACTAAAGCGCAGCTGTTCTTCTTTGGGAGGGGGATCACCCCGCGGGTCCTTGAGACGGCGGAGGGTTCCGGACGTGCAAAGCTTTATGACAAGGTAAGGAGGCTGATGTGAGCGTGAAAATCCTGTTATAGTTTCTTGCTGTATCCCAAATCTTTTTATCCAACAGAACCTTTGTTACTGAAGAGAGCAGGACTGACCGTTTGATACGTTTTTCGAGGCGGTGCCGTGGCGAATCTTGCAGTGAAAATCATGGTCTCCAGGCATTTTCCCTCGGTAGTAATGTATGTCACCATTGGAGAATCTCGCGCAGCTTTGGCTGCACTCACGGACTTCCCACCGCTCTCGCTGGGCGGACTGTCACCTTCCGACTCGTCACAATCCTTCACAGTCTCACGCAATCAGATTTCAACACAAACTCACCCCCCCTCTCAAAATTCAGATCCGCAACTTTGAGAAGTGTGACGGAAGCATGACGTGTCCGCAGGTTTTGGTGGATGCTGAGTGCACTCACGACGGATCCCTGAAGCACATCCGCAAGTACGACTGGTGGGGCTGGGACACCTTCGAGCGGCGCGTCATGGACCCGGACCGCCTCGCGGCCCTCACGGATTTGCAGGCAAGTCCGCCCTTTAAGCGGTTTTCAAGCTTTCGTAAGATTCAAAACTTCGAAAAGCTGGCAGCTTCGGAACGGCCAATATCGCATGGGACTCGCACCGCCTTGCTGCCCTCACGGATCTGCCGGCGACCCGTCCTTTTGCGATTTTTAAGCTTTTCATTTTGTTGGTTTTCCAACAAAGACTCTGGTGGAAAATCTCACAGTTTTTAAACTGCGATACCGTATGAAACTCACACTGCTCCGCAGCCTTTGCGGTGCCGAAGGCAAGCCTTCCCTCCGTCCTCGCTTCTGAGTTTATCATTGTCTGGACTCCCTGAAGCTGCCCACAGTTTCCGCAAAACTCACACTTCGACTGTCGAGTCGCCTGCCCGCCCTGACAGATCTGCATGCGGTTCGCTTTGGTTGGCGCCTGGAGTCCCGTTCCCTTGCGTTTGCTTCTTGGAATCTTATACAGGAAACCCCAGAGTTTGTGAAAGTTGCTTTGTTTCACTGTCCTTGCGGGGCCGCGGGCGAGCCATTGACTGCTTCGCGCGTTGAAGGCCCGCTCCTTTGTATCTGTTTCCCAGAATTCGGAACCTCTCTCACGGGGTCATGAAGTCAACATTACGGACCCTGAAAGCCTTTTATCTTTGAGAATGAATGCAGCCGCATAACGGTCTGCAAGAACATGTTGGCCGAATCCGTGCTTCGCTCTTTAAGTGTTACAAGGGCGGGACAGTTTCTACTTTGCTGCTCTCTGTCCCGCACTTGGAGTCAATCAGCTTTTGCTGCGGCGCTTCTTTCCAGGAAACATCTTCTTACCAAACACCCCTTGTGTGAAAACTGCGTCTGTTTGACCCCGCATCAGCGGCCTGACCAAAAGGCTCCGTTCTGTCCGCTGCTGCAGGGCCGGTTACTGAGCAACGGATTCCGCCTGCTGAAACCCGGGGGATCCCTCGTGTACAGTACATGCAGGTAGGTCATGTGCCGACATCAGCTTCGCGTTTCCTTGCTGCTCGCACACCCGACTGGTCTGCATGCTGAATAACCGGCTCGCTGCTGGTCGATTCATAAGAAGGCCTGTCACACAAAACAAAGTCACCTTGTCGTGAATGCTGCCATTCTCGTTCCCTTTCGTCTTTCGAGGGCTCAACGGGGCTTGTAGCGCTCCGTGCTGCAATATGAAAAGCGGGTCGTCGACCAAATAGGCCTTCCGTTCAGAATCTTCTGATGATGCTCCGGTTGCTTAGTGCCCGGGTGGATTTCCCGGTTGCTACCGAACTCCAACTTACGATTTGCTGCCGCCCAGTGCCGCAGCTTCACCAGGGCGCAAAACGAGGACGTGGTGTCCACTTTTCTGGATGCGCATCCAGACGCAGGTAAGAGGCGCTGAAATTTTGGTTCCGAGGGAAGCATATCGGAACCGGAATGCTACTCTCCGTTGACGGGAAATGTCGTCAAACACTTAGTAATCGTTACATAGTTGCACCCCAGGTTGTGCCTTTTGTGAAAGGACGGCTTGTCGCGGAAAAGGAGGGTCGTATTCCTACTCTAAGGTTCAAATTTTGTTACCTACGAACCACCCGTACCTTGGCCAATCAAAGCAACCAAGTTGTACTTGTGTATAAGATGAAGTATCTTTGAGGTCACATTCTACGTGTTCCCTCTCTGGAAGGACTCGCAGTCCTCTGATTGCGTGATTTCGGCTGATGCTCAAGAGCGACACTATTCCTGGAGACCACACACATCACCGTTGTAGTCTGACAAAGTCTGTGACTAGAGATTGTCATAAGGCTATACCAAAGCTTGTTGCGAAAAGCATGTGCGTGCATCATTTAGTTAGTCACAGAACGAAGCCATTCCCGTCCCTCTCCGTCGCAGATGTGGTGGCGATACCCCAGGCTGCAACGTGGCCTTGCAGCCCGGGAACACTTCAGCACACGCTCCGTTTTACCCCGGACGTTTCGAAGACAGGAGGTCTTTTCATCGCAAAGATAATGCGAAAACAGGAGTTTAGATCGTAGTGTAGCGAGGCATAAAGTCAGCCGGTGGGAGTCCTGATTTAGAGCTCTGCTGCAACCTGAAAAAAGTGACTCTAATCTTGACGGTTCATCACAAACCGGATTTGTAACAGCCAGATCCTTGTAATATTGCGCGGCCTAGCTAGAAGTGTAGCTGCCAGGCTGACTCATTGTGTACATTTATCCATGAGCTCCGCCCTCTGAGCCGGCGCGCTGTGAAGAAAGTTGCTTTTATCTATTTAACTTAGATTCCGTTGATTGTAAGCACACATTAGCACAGGAGCGGCACCGGCACACTGTATTGATATGTGTCACATCCACATGCGGCCACGGGATCGACGACCATGCGCGTACATTAGTATGCTGTGCATCGACTGTAGTACATGCAATGATCCCAATCGCATTTCAGCATATGCCATGTGCTGCCATGACGGTGCGTGTGTACCTTACTAAGGCTAAGGGCATAAAGCCCATATCGGATTGGCTTCTTGCACACATTGGAGCGGACACAATAATGCGCAGTGATATTGCCCGTTGTGATCTTTGGCGCAACAAGTCAAAGAATTCTTGGATGCATATTCAATGTACACGAGCTTCTTGTGACACTCAATCTTCAGATTCCAATCTTCCTACCTTAGATGCGGATACAATTTACGGCCTCAAGGATTACCTGGCTGCTAGCCCCACATCGAACAATCTCAAACTGATGTTCTGGTCATTGTCTAGTCCTCTAGTCGGCTTTCTATTCTGTACAAGGAACCAGCCTCACATATACAGCAAGGCCTGGAGTCAGATGTTTTCAAAACGAAGGTCGTATTTGGAAGCAAGAACTAATCGGAAAGGAAGAATGGAAAACTTTGAGCATACGCACTTCACGTTACACACAACCAGAGTCACGCAGTATCATCAGACATATGATCAGCAGGACGGAACCTGCGGAGCACGAATAGACCCTACGCGCTTCTACTCAAGAAGTCTTCAAAAGACAAAATAGACCTTCCCCCACGTTATCAAGCCCTAGAATCAATAAAAAAGAGGAACGTAACCATACCTGAAAGCCGAATTCAGGCCTGGAACCCTTTATTCGAAAAAGCGAAAATACAGCAAGCAGCGCACACCTTAGACCTCCAAAAAGTGAACACCGATCAGTCAAATTTTCAATATTGGGGCTGGCGGGGCTCGAACCCGCATCTCTCAGCAACTGCGCATCGTGTCTATCTGCTGCGCACACTAGCATCAGCATCTAACATCGCATCACGAACTGCACTAGGGCTAGTCAACATGACACCCTAGTGACGCCACTCTGACGTCAGCAAAGCCCGTAAGTCACTCTGCCCACCGCATCACGGCGGCTGCCTGGCCTCTAATCCTCCGACAAGCCGTGGCCGTCTAAGCCTCGCTGCTCGTGTCGCTAACTAAGCGCTGCACGAAACATGCATGCGTCTCGACTGCGCGAAACGCGCCAGGTCAGAACTTCCCAGGCGCAAAACGCACCAGGATTAGTCTGCACCGATCAAAGAACCGTGCAGGTCCACGACAGCAGTGCAAAGCACTCTCGCTCCGGCCACATAGGCCGTCTCTAGCCGCATAGGCTGTCTCTAGCCACACAATGGCTATCTGCACTCTCTGTGCTTAGGCTGCATAAGCCCTCGGGCGACTCACAAAGTCCCACCCGGTCAAACGAGCTCATCGAGCTCTCCTGCTCCCTCCATATGGCGAGCCGTCAAGTGATAAGCTATCACCAAAGTCTCTCAGACTATCCGCATCAGCTCATACGCTGTCAACGTCGCTCCGTAAGCTATCAACATCTGAACGTAAACTATCAACATGCTCGCGCCACGTCTCGCACATCAATGCGCAGTCATATGCTAAGCTCTCCGCACATCAGCGGGTCGAACAACTCGGGCAATGTGGCCCCACGATCGCAGTTGCTTGGCGCTTTGCCAATTAAGCTACAGCCCCTTTTAAAAGATGCCCACTCCAGTCTAACAGCCCAGACTTAGGAGATAGAAGCAAGAGAGAATGTCACGAGCTTCTTTTACAAAATAGTGAACCACAAAGCCGTTCCGTTTGTTCTCGTGTAAGATGGAAACGAAAATTTACAGAGATCACACCAACGACGCGGACAAAGAATGCTTGGAAAACTAGCACCGGAGGTGTTCATCAAGAAAAGAATCATAGAACATCAAACCAATCAAGCGAAATCTGTAGAGACTTGGAAGACACCTACGGCTGTGATACGCCTACGACACATACCATTCCGCCCCGTTCTGCCCGGAACACAGAGAACACCGTTCGCAGCTGCTCGCACCGCCCGTCCGAACCGCCCGTCCGGAGAGCCGCAGTGGAAGCCCTCCGCTTTGGTGACCCTCGTTCCGGAACACGCTCAGGGTCCCCCGCCTGGTTCGCCAGCCCTCCGGAGGGCGACATCCGAAACATCCTGCCCGGACTGGACAGCCGGTCCGAGTTTCCGAGTTGATGGAGAACCGCAGACGCCCCGACCAGAACGCTGCGTCCGCCGGCATGAAACAGCTCACCTGCAAGGGTCAAGAATACGAGCGCCTCAGATTTCAGCGGCGATCAACCCTTCTACGAGTGCTTCTACTCTGGTTCCTCTGTCATCGCAATTTAAGGCTTCGGGCGCTCTTTGTTCCCGATCACGAGAGATAGCTTCTGGCGAGACAACTTCCCTGGTTGCGAAAACAAGGGCTTATACCTTTCAATGTAAGCCAGCCCTCCTTGTACGCCATGCATGCCATCACCGAACACGTCAATTTCCACTTTTCAAAGAGACACAAAGAGCGGAAAACGGTTCCTCATGACGAAACGGAGACCTGCTGTCCCTGATCATGATAAAACCGTAGCCCTATTACGCAGCCATACAGGACACCACCTTCGGGAGATGCATGCAAGGTCTGCTCTCTTGTTAAAGATAACACAACGTTTGTCCTGCCCTCTCAAGACACCCTTCAGAAATACCGGCCTGCGCAATGCCAGATGTGACGCTAATGATCCAATAAGGGGAAACCGTCATTTGCTCTAAGACATGCCTCCACAAAGACCAGTCGGCTCACCTCTGTTGAAGCTTTTCCGCCCTTTCGTTTTTAATGACGACTTTCAGCAGCGAATGGATGCGCAGCGGTACATGATGTTGTGCAGCCAGAACAGTGGTACTTGACGTTGCCCAGCCAGAACCAACGGCAGCTCTGGTCTAGCAGGAACGGTGTGGACCTGTGAGAGGAGGAAAAGAGCACCTCAGTCCTGATCCTTGGCACGCAGATGACTACCCTGTTAAGTTGACCTACACCGTCCCTGCGTTTGTTCAACAAGGATAACCCGCCTACAAGGACAACATCAGTATCTACTTTGTCCAGGAAGAATCTCCTGACCAGAAGACCGAGTTCTGTAGAGCTTCCAAACGGCCTGAAAGGGGCATATTTGGACAGCCAAAAGACCGACTCTGGCGGTAACATAAGCCGCCAGATGCCCCGTTTGTCGGAGTTGGTATGTGAGCTAGCCCCGTTAAAATCGAGAGACAAAAGCAGGATTTAAAAAACAACGTTAGACAAGCGAGCCTCCCAGGTGAACGCGCAGAGGACTTACTCTGGCGGTAACATAACCCGCCAGACACCCTGTTTGCCAATTCTGGTTTGTGAGCTGACCCGCCTCAACCAGCAACTAGACTGGGGATCTAACAACAAATCTCGAGTTGGACACAGCCTCCTAGGCTGTACGCACAGAGGACTTACTCGAATGCCCTGCTTGCCAATTTTGGTATGTGAGCTAACCCGATCAAAGAACTCGCAGACAGAACAAACAGAAAACAAGCGAGCGATATTTGATCAGGGACAGCCTCCCAGGTGAACGCACAGAGGACTTACTCCAATGCCCTGATTGCCAATGCCGGTATGTAAGCCGGTCCAACTTGAACAAAACAAGCAAGAAATTTTGAGCTAGACAGCCTCCCAGGGGAACGCACAGAGGACTTAGTCCGTCACTAACTGGCAGATGCCCTGTTTGCCTGGACTGGTATGTAAGCTGCCCAAGCTCAGATGGCACGAACTAGAGTGCGATTGAAATAAGGAACTGACAAGATTCGGAGTAAGAACCAGAGACTGAGGTGCTCACCTTGCTGTGCTAAGAGATGCTGGTAGGACGCTGCTGCCACAGGAAGAAGACTCTCCTCGCAGCTTCTCAGAACAGCTTGATGGATTACAGTGTAGGTCGAGGCCTGCAAATGTAAACACAAATCAGCATGTAGTGCCAACGGAAGACATAGGAGTGCCGCCATTGCATAAGGCAAGCTCAAACTACCTCTTTGAGACCTCCTGATTGGAAACTGAAAGAAGTGCAGAAGGCAGCTCAACATATTGTCTCCAGAAGGCACAGCGCTTACCAGGAGTGTTCCAGCCATTTCGCCTTGACTGGTCTCGTCTAAGAGCAGATTTGGAACGTGAACTGCAACGTGAACCGTAGTTGTCGCGCTAGAAGTAGGTGTACCTGTGAGGGAGAAAACATGAGCACCTCAGCCTCTGGTCCTTGGATGCAAGTGACAGTACTGAGTAAACACTGCCTGCTTTTGTTCAAAAAACATCCTATTTAAAGAACAGTTGCGAAATTCAGTGCGAAGCAGGCGCAGCCTCCCAGATGTACGCACAGAGGACTTACTCTGGTGGTAACATAACCCGCCAGACACCCTGTTTGCCAGTCCTGGAATGTAAGCTAACCCCCCTCAACCAGAAAGTAGATTGCAGAAAGCTTGAGTTGGAAACAGCCTCCCAGATGTACGCACAGAAGAATTACTCTGGCGGTAACATAACCCGCCAGACACCCTGTTTGCCAATTCTGGTATGTGAGCTGACCCGCCTCAACCAGCAACTAGACTACGGATCTAACAACAAAGCTTGAGTTGGACACAGCCTCCCAGGCTGTACGCACAGAGGACTTACTCGAATGACCTGCTTGCCAATTCTGGTATGTGAGCTGACCCGATCAAAGAACTCGCAGACAAAAACAAGCAAGCAAACATAAAACAAGCGAGCGATATTTGATCGGGGACAGCCTCCCAGGTGAACGCACAGAGGACTTACTCCGATGCCCTGATTGCCAGTGCCGGTATGTAAGCCGTTCCAACTCAAGACTCAAGACGAAAACAAGCAAGAGATTCTGAGCTAGACAGCCTCCCAGGGGAACGCACAGAGGACTTAGTCCGTCAGTAACTGGCAGATGCCCTGTTTGCCCGGACTGGTATGTAAGCTGCCCAACCTCAGCTGGTAAGTAGTTGAGAAAGGGAACAGAAGGAAAGGACTCTTCAAGCAATACCAAAGAGCCAGAGACTGAGGTGCTCACCTGTTCTCTAAGGGTGCTGGTACTCAAGTAGTTACGGTCCCCCCATTGTGAATCAGCTTTCTGAGTCAGCTTGACGGATTTGTACAAGATGAAGAGGTCTGCAAAATGGGAATTTCAAAAGCAGGTATGTGAATAGCAGATGCGCAGTCACTTGGCTTTGAGCAATTCTGCCAGACGGTAAACAAGTCATATTAGTCAGCTGTCTTTGACGGCAAATTAGTTCAGACCAATGAGCAGACTATCCTCTAACTTTTCATGAATTGCTCAATCCAGCAAACAAAGCCCTGGGAGACAATTTGTGACGTGAGTGGCGCTCCTACTCCTGAACCTCTCTGCATATCCAATGCACAAGAACCAAAGTTGGGATGAACAAACGCTGCCCGTTTGTTTCCAGAATATGGACACCCTGCAGGATCCAAGCAGTTAACTTCCTCCTGCAACAAGTCAGAGCTCACCTTGTCCAAGGTCAGGTCCGCGGAAGTTCAATGAAATGCCCCGTAGCGTAACATTGCGGCCCGGCAAGTTGTGCGTTGATGTGAAGCAGTGCTTCTCCAAGAAGGGGACGTGCGTCGTCAAGAAAAGGAGCGGGGTTGAGCACTTAGAGAAGCTGAGGACTGGGGCGCTGCTATGATGCTTTGCTCTGTTGATATTGAAGCTGCTTTGGAAATGAGAGTTGAGAATGAAAAATTTGGAATGAGAGGCAAGATCTTAGAGGCCTGTTTTGCTTTTGCAGCCTTGCTTGTGCAGCCTTCAACGGGGTGCCAGCAGCTTTCCGAAGTTCTCGGAGGCTGCAGTCACGAGCGCCAGCTCTGCTTTTCTCCGAGTCAGCCCTGGAACAGTGGCAAGGCGAGCAGCTGACGCGGTCAAGAGCAGAGAGCGATTCGGATCAGAGAACAGCTATAGCTAGCAATGCTGCTGACGGAGGCAACTAGCGAAGGGGGCATAAACCCTCCAGGAGGAAGCTGAGTGCGACATAGAAAACGGCATTGGCCGTGCCAGTACTGAGACGTCGTTGAGATTGAACCAGCAAACCAAATGAAGTTCGGAGTAAAGTTGCAGTCAATCAGAGAGCGACAACGCATACCCCCCAGGAGCCAGAAGGGCGAAGTTGTCCGGTAGGGTAGTAACCGCAGGTCGAAAGCTCAAGTCGACCCGGTCTGGACCCAAGTGTACTCGCTCCGGCCACCCGGGCACTCTGCAGGTACTCAAGGACGAGAGCCGAATATGCAGCCCTCGTCCTTAAGTGCCTTGGATACATATATATCTCCAAAAGTTCCTCAAGAAAAGAACTCTGTACTACTAATCCGTTATATATTTTTTTCTCCAAAAAGTCGATTACCAAATCATGCATGGTTTGGCTTACATACATACATGCCACCGAAAGATCCTCGAGGAGAATATTCTGTACTACTAATCCGTTATATTCTCTTTTCCGGAAAGTCAATTACAAAATCATTCATGGTATGGTTTAAGATGCATACGTATTTATAGAATGAAGACCCAAGGAATCAGGTTTGCAATAAAATGTGTCTAGTTTTCACTTGCGCATGCAGGGAGCGTCAATGCGCGGTCCAGATGGACTTTCTGAATTTGTCAATAAACTTGTCCTCATCAAAAGTGCGTGCAAACTCTCGGGTAGAAGGCTCCAAACTGAAGAATAACATTGGGGCCAGCACCAATCTGGGCTTTTCCATGCATGCACAAAAACGATCTACCTACTATGATGCGGTACAGCTTGTCCGGACAAGCTTGATTGTGATTACAACTGGATGAGAACGTTCGCAATGCATGGATCCTTAGTGACGGTCACTTCGCACAAAAGTCCTTTGAGAGAAAGCTTGTAACCAAGAATATTAAGATGCACTGCTTCCCTGGCCCTATGGGCTCGCAGTGTTATGCATGTCCGTCAGACTATGAGAATTATTGATTGACTGCTTATGATCAAGCGCCAAAGACTCGTCAATGCTCATGGTGACTGCAAACAGCATTCAAGATGCTTAAGTACAACTTCTATCCAAGTCGCTGTCATGACGCTAAACAGCTGGACCTATTTATATTCTTTGCGCCGTGCTTTGTGGTGCAGGAATCAATGAACAAGCGTCTCTGATCAAACCCCTATGCTTTTCTCTTCTTCCGAGAACTGACCGAGGCTCGAAGGTTGGTAATCTGAGGCATTTTCAGGACTTTGTACTTGGCAAGCATGGGCTGCAGCAGACTACAGGGCACCATGCCACAAAGAGTGCCTTTGTGGGGGGCATTCGCCTCTGCCCTCTTCATTTTCCTTGTTAAGGTCTTCGGAGACAAGGGCTGACTAGAGGACTCATCCTTTGGATCGCAGCTGGATTCCTCCCCCGAGAAGAGGCGTTCATGATTGGGCCCCACCCACGCTTCGTCGTATGTTAACGAGGAGAAGTCTTCTTCCTCATCTTCTTGGGACAGTGGGACATCCTCATGAGATAGTCTGCAAGGATATTGGTCATTAGAGAAGCAAGCCTCACAGTTGCGTCAGAAAACGAACATAGATCAGAGCATATGCAGGAACACTCAAGTATTTCTGAAGACCAATACCAGAGCAGTCTAAGGTTGTGCAACGCGCAAGTGATGCTGATCAAGACTGAGCCTGGTCTTGGCTCTCAACCACGCTGAGAGGTTTGCCTGATCTGGCTGTTCCTTAAAAGAAGTTTCACGCACCCGCAGGTATTGATGGCGATTACTTGACCATCGGCGCAAGCTGCTCCTCCCGAGCTGTTGGGGAAGCTCTCGGCATCACCAAGGACCTGCGTTCCATTGCTGACGGCGGAGATAACACCACTAGTGACTGTTGGCTTCGCAAAGTCCTGTTGTCCCTCCTGATCAACAAGCAGCGGATAATGGACGAGCATAAAGGGCATGCCTGCAGGATAAGAGCTTTGTAATTGGGATGATGGATATCATGCTCTCAGATGCAGCCTGCGCAGAGACAAACTCTAAACCACCTGCATAAGCAACATACAGAGGAGGAGTGTCATTGAAGTGCGAAGTTAGGATTGTAGAGCAACTCTGTTGATCCAAAGCTTGGCCAGAACGCTCCAGACAGAACACATTTCAACAATCCACAGGTCAAGCAACACAAGCTTCAAAAGAGAAAGCTTCTATTGTGCACTGGAAATGCAACCAATCCCCAGGCTCAAGATCAACACTTGACCACAACACAGCTCGTCACCAGAACGCTCCAGTTTACAGCTCACATGACAGGATCTTTGGAATCCAACTCCAAAGCTAGCTGGCAAATTCCAAGATGACCTCTGCAAGCTCTGTCAAGCCTCACAAGTAGCGAGATTGAAGGAAAACAGTGAGCTTTTAGCAGACTGAAACAACCATGGACATGTGATCACGAAATGAATGGGAAAAAAGGCCTTTGATCCAGGCTTGGATAGATGGAAACAGGCTCACCAGCAAAAAGGCCGATCCCGAGGGGGAGGTATGGATGCTCAGCAGGGCCGGGACCGGTGACCCTCCAGACCGACATGTCAATAGCTGGGAAGCTGACAACATGCTCAACTGACCGCCCCTCAACTGAGAAGGTGTCCGGAAAAATCTTGCCCTGTGTCCTCAGAACACTGTGCAGACACGTCACAAAGTGTCCCTGTGCTGAAACAAACACCACTGTTCCCGCTGTGGTTGTAGTGCCTCCTGACCTACGCTCCAGGCGCTTGACGGCTGCGCTGTATAGTCTCAGAGGGTCCCGAACTTTCTCTGCTTCTTCTTCATCTGCATCCGGAGCATATGCCTCCTCAACACGAAGAGGCCCTGTGATAAGGATCGGGCTTGTGTCTAATGCTCCATTTGCATCTGCTGCAAGGTCCAGTTGCTTCAGCGGGACAATAGTCTGAAGCTTCTGAGTGAAAGCGTAATGGACCCCGTTGATCGCCACTGCTCCAGGCTGAAGCCCTTCCTTGCTGACATCCAGCTTTCCTGAAGATGGAGCAAGCAAACATTGCTTTGGACTTTTCTCGTTCACCTTGACCCAAACTGTCTCTACCTTTCTTTTCGGCGCCATGACCAGACCACACCTAAGGCTACAGCGCCTCACTCAGCAAGCCAACTCCAAGCCAATTGAGAAGCGCCTGACCGTCTCTTACGACTCCAGCGCCGGCAAAATGAAGTTCTGGTTTCTGTCCCAACTGTATGTATGTGGACTTGAAAGGATGATTCAATAGCACTGAGGCTTGAGCAGAGCTGCAATTTCAGGTATGGACTAGGTAGGTATCTCAGTGGATCTGCTTTCCAGGTTTGCCATTTACCATTGGCCTCGGCGCGTCGCCAACCAAGGACGCGCAGAGGTACCTGGTCCAACATCAGCAGCGCGACTCTGCCACTGCCAGGCCGGCGTGAATACTGAAGTTTTCACCGATCGGCGCGTCAGCGTACCGTACCGGCGCGCTCAATTCGCACCTACTTAATTCATTTTTGCCTGGAAGGAGGGTGATGCGAGATGACAAACTACTCGGTAATCCCGTTATCTCAGAAAGGCTGATTAAAAGGCCCTGTTAAGGGGCTAAATCTCCTTGACCAATTACTAACAGGTTCAAGATGCGGAAATCTGAAAATTACCAGATGCGTGATACGAAAACAGAAATGGCACGAAAATAAATATGTTGCACAGGGTGGTGCGAATTGAGCGCGCCGGTACGGCATGGCCAGACCGCCGTGGGGGGTATGCCTGGGAGATTTGTAATCTGGTTGGCCGGAGCCGGCGGTTCGTGCATCGAGGCCCCGAGCACTCCCTCCCATACATGTGCACAGTGCACTACTACAGTCCTGTCTGGCATGAACCTCCGTCCGCTGGCCTGGTTAAGTAATTTTTGGCGTACCGGGCGCAGTCCGGGCATCCAACGGTGAAATTCGTTCTATTTTCTAAGATCGGACGGTACGCCGATTGCCTTTGCTGAACAGAAGGCTGAGTCCATCCCCCGCCTAAAGGTCGCAGAAAGGAGGGACAGCGCCCGAAAGTGGTGAAGTCCAAAATTGTTATTTTGCCCAGCACCTCAGACTGGCCGCCATGGCTGCCGACATGGCTGAAATGAGCTGGGAGCAGCACCCATGACCAAAATTTCTCAAACCCAACGGCAACCTGAAGCTATGTGCAACCTATAAATTGAATACCAGCTGCTTTCAAAGGTAAATTTGATGCACATTCTCCCCCCAAATCCAAAATGTGCCTTTCAACCCTAAAAGGAGCCTCGGAGGCGCAATGGAGGTTTTGTTGAAAGTCGCCGGGGCAACTATACATCAAATTTTGCAATCTCAACGGCAAGACTGCTCTACAAAAAGCAATCCTAGCTTGCTGAAATGCAAAGTTTGTGGAGAAAGACCTTCTACTCTCCCCCCACAGCCCGTCCCTGCCTCCTCAAGCCCTGAGCACAAGGCAGCCATTGCGGCAGTCTTCTGCTTCAAATTACTGGCTGTAGGTGTTCCGGTTTAGGCCTTGACTTCCGGGACTTTGGTTTTACTGAGCAACTTTGTCAGTCTTGGGCAACCGCTGAAAGTGCCCGGGGATTCAGCGGAAGTGACCGTCGATGTCACTTCCTCTGGTTCTGAACCGTCCGATGCACATATTTATCTGAACATTCTAGGGGACAAGAAGTTTATGCCAGACAGGACAGTAGCTTGGAACTTGCCAAGTCGAGCCTGAGGTCACAGCCTAGCTAGACTGAGATCCTGGCATATCAGGGAAACCAGACATCCCTGAGAGAAGAGGAGTTGACAGAAGAAGCCGAGCTGGCGATGGCGCACCTTGGCGCTCAATGGCGGCCCTCTGATGGCCTGCATGACTGCCAGGTGGCAAAACATCAGTGTCAGCTGGGGAAGTTTCTAGAGGTGTCTGGCAAGGCGGCGGGGGCTGGCATCCCTTGCATGGATGCCAAATGGCTTCTTGGGTTGGCAAGGTTGTAGACCAGCTAATCAACATGATCAGGTTCCAGGCCTTGCAAGTTTGAGAGCAGAGGTCAAAGAGAGGCAGCAGAAAGCAGTAGGCCTCTTTGAGGCCACGCGCCTAAGAGCATGGCTGCGACAGAGGCAGCCACGGGAGCAACTGAGGTGAGACCCGTTCTTTCCTTGACCTGTTGCGCGCTCTGCAAATGTGTCAGGACACGATAGATGGCGGACAAGTTTTCATTGCTTTTGAAGCTAAATGTCTAACACGGCTATGGCAGATTGACTGCCTCCTCCAGCGGACAAATGGCATAAAAGCTTTGATGTGTAGTACAGCGCGGTGCAAATTGTCTGCTGCCAGGCCGCACGCTTGGATGCTTTCTGAGCTCCAACCCATAGAAAGAGGGGCAGTCAGTCTGCACCAGCACTTGTTTTAAAGGAAGCTTCTAAAGCAGTGCAGATTGATTGCCCCCCAGGTCGGCAATTCCAGTGTGGTTAAGGGGCGCCAGTCAAATTTGCATTGGTTGAGAAGCTTTCATGTAAAGCTGAGTCATTGCAAATTGACTGCTCCTCGGCCGTTTGCTTCCTCAAATCCATTGGTTGACGTGGGCTGAGTGCGGTCCTGGTTTGGGACTATTTTTGGGGCCGCTGGGAGCTGACCTAACGCTTCCTGTTCAGCTCACATACATGCATGTACTGTAGTGTTGATTCCGGGGTGGCTGTGGGCTGTCCAACATCTGAGCTTAGTGTTACGTTTTGGGAAAGACAAGCATCAGTCTTGTGCGACTGTGGGCTTGGGGGGGGACCGTCCTTTTCAGCTGAAAGAGCGCTTGGAAAGCTCGCTTTCATGTTGATGAGTCTTGAGCTGACACTCGGCAAAGAATTGATGCACGAGTCTACTTTCTCAGGTGCATGAGAGCGGATCCGAGGGAGGGGTCAAAGTATGGTCTAAAGCAGCAGGAGCGAAGGCAGAGGACATCCAGGATGGGAGGGAAGCTTCACACGTTGGCGCGGCTGATGCGGTGAGACTCTGGACTGCAGCCACCCCAAATCAAAGTTGTGATTTCTGCTCCAGTTGAGAAAGCTCCCTTTTTGGAAGAGAACGGGTAGGGGAAGTCGATTGCCCCCCCAGCTGGTTGCTTACCCAGCTTCCAATTGACTGCGCCCCAGCCGTGCAATTCCTGGGCTTCGTTGTGGTTGTGGTTGAAAGAAAGGGGCCAGCCAAAGTGCACTGTTTTAGAGAAGCTTCAGTGTAAAGAATGTCTGGTGCAAATGGAGTGTGCCCCCAGCAGAGCAATCCCTGCGCTTCAATGTGGTTGTGGTTGTGGTTGTGGTTATGGTTAAGGGGGGGCAGTCAATTTGCACTGTTTGAGAAACTTAGATATGAAGAAGGATTGGTGCATATTGACTGCTCCCCAACTGTGCGCTTCCTCACTTCCATTGTGGTTGATTGGGGGCAGTCAATCTGCACTGGTTGACAAGATGTGATGTAAAGACGTTTTGGTGCAGACTGACTGCTCCCATGCCGGGCACCTTCCCTGAGAAACGTCTGATGTGCACTTAGGCTTTTACAAACTTCATTATTGGACTTTGAGGTTCAGAATGTCTGCTCATTCTTCTCCGGGTGCCATGGGTTTTGAAGCATCCAGACTTCCTTGCAGGACATCTCTAACCCTTACCCCCTGTCTACCAGCAAAGAGCTGGTGGGGAGTGCACGAAGAGGCTCGCTCACAAGCCCCCCCCCAAGCCTTGCGGCACGTGGCATCCCCGCTACTTCGATGGATGTAGACGACCAGCTGCAGCAGCCTGCTTTAACCTCCATCCAGGTGCGCGCATTCAGATTTTGAGAGCTCATATGTGCAGATTGCTTGTGCGTAAAGGGAACAACCCCGGATCAAGCGTCACAGGTTGGTTGAGGATCGCCTTCGGGGACCATGTTGGAGTGTCCGAGGTTTTACACAACCTTTTGCAATCTCACTCTCAGTGTGACGTCACCAGCCATGCCGGGCATGATCTGCCATAATTGATAGCTTGACTCTGTCCGAGTGTTAAAAACTCTGACCACACCTTAAGTGCCCTGGTCCAAGAGGGGTGCTTTGGAAAGGCTCGCTGCGTTGCCATTCAGTTTCTGATGGGGTGCCCTTGTGACGACAACAGCAGCCATCCGAGGGGGGGTCACCTCCTGTGACCAACGGCTTGAATCTTGGCCAAATGTCCACTTGGCCGTTCAGTTTTTGGAGTGGCTCTTTTGTGACGTCAGCAATAGCCATCCCACCCAGGATGCGCTGCAATGACGGTGTGAACGTTTTCTGGCCCGTGTCCGAGTGTCCGAGATTTTGTCACACCTTTCGAGATCGAACTTTCTTGATGACATCAGCAGCCATGCCGGGCAATGTTCCCTGTGCTTGATGGTGCAAAGCTGTCCGAGTGTCCGAGCTCCTGGCGATGATGTCATCAGCCATGCCGGGCAACAAGGTTCAAAGAAATGCACTCGATCACTTCACCAGATATGACCAAGTAAGCTGAATTGGGCATTGTGTATGCAGGATCGACGGCTGGCTGAACTAGGAGGAGACGCAAGCGCGCTCTACCCAGACGCCCCCTCTCCAAGGCCTCGAAAAAGTCCTCTGGGGGGCGGCATCACCGCCGCCCCAGTGGATGTCGACAAACAGCTGCAGCAGCCTGGTCCGCCTTCCATCGAGGTGCGCGCATTCCAAAACGTGTTGTCAGAGCTCGGATCTCATCCGAGCTCACTGTCTCGGATGGCTGCTGACGTCATGACACAAGTTCAAGCTAAAAAGGTTGGTCAATACCTCGGACACTTGGACACGCTGTAGCTGCTGAGGTCACCTGAAAAAGACCATCCCGAAAATCATCTTAGAAAAGTCAGGCACTCGGATAGGGTGCGCGCAGTCAGTCTCAGCGCATTTTTGGAGGGATGGGCGCTGACGTCATCAAAGAGGTTCAATTTTGAGATGTGTATCCAAAGTCGGACACTCGGACAGGGGGGTGCTCGATCAGTTGCAGCGCATCCTTGTAGGAATGGACGCTGACATCACCAAGAGCTTTTCCTTTGAAAAGGGTGTCCAAATCTCGGACATTCGGACAGTGTGTGTGCAATTAGTCACACGAGTTCTTGGGGCTCTCAAGGCATGGCGCCGGTTCGCTGCGATCGCCCATTCACCTCGCAATTATCTCCTCCCGCAGGATCCGCACATGGCGCCCACGATGGAAGCACCTGGGCCGGCCCAGCGCACCCCTGATGCAGCCCAGCGCACTCCTGATGCAGCCCAGCGCTCCCCTCCCGATGTGGGCGGCCGCTCTCCCTCTCGGACGTCAAGATCCTCGTTGGGAGCGCGCTTAAGCGGAAGTCCGTGCAAGGGAAGCGCGTCTTTCGAAGGAACGCGGGCCGCGTGTGCGGGCTGGCGAGAGAGCAGTGTGGGCCGGCGGGGCTCCTCTGGACGCGGTCCAACTGGGATGGGGCATTCGAGGCCGCCGTGAGCGGTTTGGAGGGGCTGATTGGAGTTCCGGACTCAGAGCTGCTGGAGGGCTTCGGGCGGGTCGTCGCATCAACAGCTGCGGCGCACCTTGAGGGGCTCAAGCAGCGGGGCACCGTGCGCGCTGCGCGCAGGGCCCGTAGAGCTAAGGTCGCGAGCGGAAGCCCGAGATCTCCGCGCCGGCGGAGAGGCATCGAGCAGCTGGAGACGAAAGCAGGTGAGAGAACGGCTGTTTTTGATCCAATATGTCCCTCGATTTGCTCGGCTCCACTCCAATGAATCTGGAAAACCTGCTCGGAAGTTGGAAGACTTCTTGTTTCTCTCTAGAGTAACTAAGGGGTAAATCTTGTCACGTATTGTCAACCATAGGCGAAAAGACGGGTGAGCTGGCCGTCGCCGCGGGGTACCAAGATTTTCGGAGAACACTCTCGCAAGATTCTGCTGCATGATGTTGCTAGGGTGTTCTTTGCCCCAAGGAAGCCAGCAGTACCGAGTTTCGCCTGGACTTTCTAGGGCTCTGATCCCTTCGAAACGGACCAGGTCCGACCCCTTTCTCTTCGCCTCCTTGCAGACCCGCACAGTCTTTGTTGCCACGTGTGCGGCGCAACCGCAGTGTGGGGCCTTCGAGGAAGCAAGGGCGGGGGGCAAGTCGAGTACTCGTGCAAAGATCATGACCACTCGTTTGGAAGCTTCCGCATCGACAAAGACCGCGCAGGTAAGGCATGTCACAATCTCGAGCGGCGTCACTGAGGCCCGTGGGTTATTTGATCTGTTGCAGCACTGCGCCATCTTCGCATCTACTGGCCAATTACGATGCACCAGAAGCCTTTCAGCGCCCCGCAGTTTGTCCAAGTTGTCCAAACGTTTTCGATAACTTTTCTGGGATCCAGTCTTGATGACGTCATCAGCTGACCATCCCGGCCTGAGTTCAGCTGTGATCGATTTCAGCTTGTCCAAGTTGTCCAAGCCTTTTCGAGAACTTTTCTGGGATCCAGTCTTGATGACGTCATCAGCTGACCATCCCGGGCGGAATGCAGCTGTGATCGATTGCGGAGACCCGCTTTGTCCAAGTTGTCCAAGGGTTTTCGAGAAATTTTCTGAAGCCCAGTCTGGATGACGTCATCAGCTGACCATCCCGGGCGGAATGCAGCTGTGATCGATTGCACAGAGCACTTTGTCCAAGTTGTCCAAGGGTTTTCGAGAACGGTTTTCTGAAGTCCAGTCTGGATGACGTCAGCAGCTGACCATCCGGGGTAGAACGTTGTTGTAATCGATTGCACAGATCCCCCTCCTTGTCCAAGTTGTCAGAGCTTTTATTGCCTTTTGCAGCATGGGTTCGAGAGCGGGAGTGGCGTCGCGTGGAAGCGGAGTTGGAGAGGCTCGAGGATGAGCTGCGGAAGATGGACGAGGAAAGCTCTTCTGCAGAAGCGCCAGCGCTCCGCGCTTGCTCCTCGCCAGGTGGGGGGATCTTGCCGCTGCCATCCTCGTTCCTTTCCTGAGGGCTCCAATAAGCTCCAATTCAACCCGTACCTCCTGATGCGGGTCCTATTTGCAAGCAGCACGTGAAGTCCTCTCAGCACGTGAAGTCCTCTCTGCAACTGTCTGCATCGGTCCTTAAGCTTGTTGGCCCCTGCAGCATCCTTCCGCATGCTGGCCATCTTCTTTTGGCGACGGGCTGGCATATGACTGGCGCCGCTCATCGCCTTTTGCAGTGTTCGATGAGCCGACCTTCAAATCCCCCCCGCCCTCCACGGAGCCCATGAGCCATGCGCTTCTCGGTAAGTGACTGAAAGCGCGTGCGCTCCCCTCTTCCCCGGCCCCCCTCAGCAGTGCCTGCCCCCTCGCGGAATGCAGTGAATGCTTGTCCGTCCATTTTTGAAGCCACTGAAGGATCGAGCATTGCACTGTCCTCTATCGGTCCTCTTCTCCAACATCTGCAGAGACCCTCCTGTTTATCGGTGGCGTCGAAAAAAACCGGGGGCCCTCATCAGACGGTTTGCCAGGCAGTGCGGAGCAAGCCTCAGGCTCTCCTCTGTCGCGGTTGCGCCCAACGCCTTTGGAGAGTGGAGGAGAAGATTTAAACATGGAGTTTTCGAGGATGGAGGATAGCTCTTTGGCCGATTTGATTTGGACACGCTGATTCCGGCTCGGTAGACCTTCCAAGGGTCAAATGTGTATTTGCCCCAGCAGCAGCTTAGACTTGCCGACGTCATCACAGCAGATCGGGGAAATTTTGCCAAGAACTTGAAGTATTTGGACAGCGTTGGTGTTCGCTTGAGACGCTCAACTTGTGATGCGGTCTCCTTCATTGAATCGTTTGGGTTTGGTCCGCTCTCACCTGCCTGAGCAGTCCTTTTCTGACTCTGCTGACGTCGTCACGAGGCTTGTTGCGTTGTTTGGTCAGCAGTTGCGGCATGCGCCCACATGAATTTGAGCCAATCCATGCCCCGCTGCTTTGCTTGTCAGGCAGCAACGCGTGCGCTTTTCTGAACCGACTGGTCAATGCCATTGCCCGGACTGAGACGTGCTCCCTATTGCAGCTCGAAGAGAGAACGTACGAGCCAACGAGTTCCGCCTATACCAAAATGCCCACGTCAGAGGAGATCGAGGCCGTGCGGGCGGCGAGCGACAAGGGACGACGGACCGGTGATGCGGTGTACTTTCAAGAGGGCTTCTTTGTGCCCGGGCATCCCAGCATCTCCGGAAATCCATTTTCGGAGGTTAGCTCCCACCGACATGTCTGCTGTGATTCTTGTTCAATGCGGACTCCCGCTTGTCCAAGTTGTCGAAGCCCTTGGAGGACATTTTTGGTGGCCAGTCCTCGAGGATGACATCAGCAACGGACCATCCGAGGTAGAATGGAGCTGTAGTTGATCGAAGACCCTCTTGTCCAAGTTGTCCAAGCTCTTTGAAGACTTTTTTGGTGCCCAGTTTTGATAACGTTAGCAGCTTTCGACCATCCAAGGTAGAATTCAGTTGTGGTTGCCAATGGCGCAGACCTCTCTCTTTTGTTCAAGTTGTCCGAGCTCTTCAAACGAAGACTTTTGGACGCCCAATCTGGATGACGTCATCAGCCGTTCCTTGTCCATATTGTCCAAGCTTTTGAAAACTTTCTGGGCGCCCGTTTCTGATGACGTCAACAACAGAGGTCCTCAATTCCAATCAACCTCCTCAGACATCAGATGCCTCCCTTGTCCGAGGTGTCCAAGCTTGTGCACGGCTTTTTTGCGAGCGCCAATCTGATGACGTCAGCAGTCGCAGTGCCTCCGTGTCCCCAAAAGGGTATCAAAAAGCTTGGACAGCTTGGACAAGGGGAGGGGGGTATGTGCGGTGAAACACAAGTGCATTCAGCAGCCGTCTCTTGTCCAAGTTGTCCGAGCTTTTCATAGACTTTCTGACCGCCCGCTTCTGATGACGTCTGCAGCCGTCGCTTCAAGTTGTCCAAGTTGTCCGAGCTTTTGGCAGACTTTCTGAGCGCCCAATTTTGAGGACGTCAGCAACTGACCATCCAAGGGGGATGCGATGCGGGCTCCTTCTCCAAGATGTCTGGACGAAAAGAACACGTATCAACATCCGAATCTTCAGTGCAGGACAACGACTTGGAGAACGGTCCCGCGAGGTCGGAATCGGAAGGAGAGGGTGAAGACATCGAGGGGGTAGAGTTCCAGAGAGATGAAGAATCTTCAGACGAAGAAGCCCCTCGGGACCGAGCCATGCTGGACGATGCCCCCCTGAAGGAGCCCAACCCCGTGGTCCAATTGGGGCTACTCCAGCGCGCAGCGGGCGCTTCCGACTCGGAAGTCCTCGCCGAGATGGTGAGGCGGAGGTTCAAACCGCGGGCACCTCGAGGTCGACTTCGAGTTCTGGAGGACTCTTCCTCGAGCTCCTGCGCCGACGAGAACCACCCCCCTCCGGCCGACATGGAGGCCGAAGTGAGCAGTAAGGATGCCGGCCGCTTGTCGTTGGAGCACGACGACGGCTGGTCGTTCGACTTGGTCGACGACGGCTGGCCCGACCTCCTCGACCCGGCGGAGCTGGACCCGGGCTCCAGGGACGAGTTCACCGACAAGTGTATGATCGTGTGACCACCTCCGCCAAAGGCCGGGCGGGTGAGTCTCCATCGATCTTTGGATGAGCGGCGCACGAGTGCGTTTGATAGATGTTGCCCCCCATCAAAAAGTTCTCTTGCTTCAGGCACCGTCGGTCTCGTTTTGTCGAGTAGAGCACACAAGATGTACAGATCACCCCCCTTTTTCAAAGATAGCTCACGTGTCCTTACATTCACCAATCAGGAGGAGTCATCATCTGTTGATTCTAGTGGAATCGTGGTAAAAGTGGTGGTAGACTTCGTGTACAATCTCACCTACAACCTCAAGTTCTTTTTGATTGATGTACATTTGCAACTAGTATTTTGTCGATTGCTTTCTTATGTACACGATCGGTCTTCTGGACGCAACAATTCTCCTCCACATCCATCTTCATCAGAGTTTTGAGAACATATGGGGGAACTCGCAAAAGTGCTCTGGCAACACATCCTCGCCTTTCGCTTTACTCCAACCTGGATGCGTAAATGTCCGTCCCTTCGCAGGCTGGCAAGCCGTTGAGGTCGTCCGCTTTTCCCGCGCCGCGCCGCTCCCCACACCAAAAAGCGCTGACGTGCGGGCTTTGAGTATGTCCGTTTTGCTTGATGACGTCATCAAGAATGGACTTCAGAAAAGTTTGCCCAGAGCTCGGACAGTTTGGACAAGGGGAGGGACATATGGTCGCCTGTCGCTTCCGACAGTTGCGCCTGACGTCTCTTCTCACCCTGGCCTTTTCGCAGGGCGCATCTCCCCCAGCCTCCACCACGGCCGCGGTAGACGGTGACAGCGCCGCCACCCCTCCCCCTACTGCACAGGCGGCCGCAGCTCCCGAGGCCTCCGCCTTCAAGCTAGGCGGAGAACCTGGCGATTCCGTCCGTTCAAAAGCCCCCGTGGTAAGGGACTTTGACCTAGATGCGTCCATGTTCGCTCGCTCTTTCCGCGCTGCTGCCCACGCCAAAAAGTGCTGGGGATGACGTCTTTTTTTCGTGTGAGCTTTTGAGTATGGCGTCATCAAGAATGGACTCCAGAGAAGTTTGCACAGAGTTCGGACGGTTTGGACAAGGGGAGGGTCTATGCTGTCGACTGCACGTGCATTCTACTTGGGGGTGGACGATTGCTGACGTCATCACAATTCGCTTTCAAAAAAGTCTGCCAAAAGCTTGGACAATTTGGACAAGGAGCCAGCTAACCGTCAGTCAGCCCGCTCAAAAGCCATGCCGGACATTCTAGTACTCCATTCAAAAAGCAGAAATAAAACATGAATTGGAAATCTGCTTTGAGTGTTTGTAATTGTAAGATTTTGATAGGTCGCTTCTTGACTTTCGTCCACTCCTTTCTCCTTCAGCAATCGAACCCGGTGTGGGGCACAGAGGTCATGGCCTGCTCTACGGTACGACCAACTCAACCGCCGACTCCGCCGAGCGCCGGCGCCAGGGAGGTTAGTGTCTTGCAATCCTGGATTGCCTCGGCGCAGATGCGCCTCAAAAGCGCGCCTTTGAGCTCCCCGAGTTTGTCCTAGTCTTCATCCAGAAACTCCTGGAAGATTTCGATGACATTGTCGCTCGACCAGCTTGAGAATCCCCCCACGTGCATGAACCACCGAAACAGCCACGGCCGAGATAAAGCCCTCGGGTCGTCGCATGCACCCCTGTTGCGGAGGTGTGCGATCGCAGCAGCTGCTGCGTCTGGAAACCTCGCTGCCGCCTTCAGAGTCTCTTGATCAATCATAGCGCTGAGAGCGAAGACGTTTCTGACTTGCTCGTCGGTAGAAACCGCACCACAGTCCATCGAAGCTGCCTTAGCTCTGTGTTCCCTGTTCTTAAGCTCATCGCCTTTGCATTCGCCTTACAGGACCCCGGCCCCTCGTCCAGCGCCTCGCGTCCCGCTAGCGCTCCCCGTCCGGCTGCTGCGGAGCCGGCGCCCGTCGTGGTGAGTCCACCCCCTTCATGACCAAGGCTAAAATCTTCTAAATTGCGAGGTCAGAGCGCCAGGAGAGCAATTTTCAGACGGTTCCAGCAACGACGGACAACACTGCATGCTACAAACATGTGGCGTGCCTCAAGGTTGCAATGACGCTGCCATGATTGCCAAAAGTACTATTTCTGGTTGTTTGGGTGCGGAAAGTGGAGGTTTTGATGACGTCAGCAGCCTTTTTTCTTGTCCAAGTTGTCCAAGCTTTTGGCAGACTTTCTGGGCGCTCGTTTCTGGTGACGTCAGCAGCCATCCCCGGCATTTATGCATGTGATTGATGGCACGAAGGTGTCCGAGTGTCCGAGTTCTTGTCACACCTTTTCTAACGGGAGCTCTTGGATGACGTCAGCAGCCATACCCGGCATCTTTTGCCTGTGGTTGATGGCAGGAAGGTGTCCGAGTGTCCGAGTTTTTGACAAACGTTTTTGAAGAAAGCCTCTTTGATGACGTCAGCAGCCATCCCCCCGCATCTTTTGTCCGTGATTGATGGCACGAAGGTGTCCGAGTGTCCGAGTTCTTGTCACACATTTTTAGACGGGAGCTCTTGGATGACGTCAGCAGCCATCCACGATAGGATCCACTGTGGTTGGTGGCGCAGACTTTGTTCAAGTGTTTGAATTCTTGTCACGCCTTACTATAGTTGAGGGGCAAAACCTGCTTCCTTGTCAAACACAGGTTCAGTTTGTCGATAGAATGTTGAATGAAGAATATTTTGCGAGCATGCGCACATGGAGGCGCAGCGCGGATAAGAACTCCAACAAGAACTCTAAAAGCCTGTTGGATTTGTTGTGTTCCAAGAATCGGCTCGAGAAGTGTCCATCTTCAGTGAAGCAGAGGTGGCTTTTTCGAGCACGACACTGCAATGGTCGGCAAACGAAGCAAGTCACTGCCGTCGCCCGCCTCCTTAGGTACCTAATCGATGACTCTTTGGTCGAAACTTGTGCCCGATCACTCCACACGGCAACTTGAAGGATATGTATCAAGCGCCGAGCGGCTGAAAAGGCTCCCTCTCTTTGCCAAGAATTCCAACCAAGTGTCCGATTTGTTTGCAGATCCATGAGATCCCCGAACCGCGCGGACCTGGCTACATGGTCTCTTCGACCCCAGCTACTTCCGCGACTTTCAACGCTAGCTCAGAGAGGAAGTGGCGACTTCGCAGCAGCTGAAAGCAGGCACCAACGTTTCACAGGTTAGTGAAGAAATTTGAACTGTTTTTGAACCCGGCCAACAAGTTGCCTAGGTCAGTGCCTACACGCCCATCCTTGGGCAAGGGTGATGGCAGTGTACTCTTGGCCCCATCCCGCAATCTTGGCAAGGAATCTGCTGACGTCACAAAGTAGGCCCGAGCCCAAAAGGTACGTCAGAATCTCGGACACTCGGACAGGGGTGATGGCAACCGGTGTTTTCTTGGCCCCATCTCGCAATCTTGCCTCGGATGTCTGCTGACGTCACAAAGTATGCCCGAGCCCAGATTCAGAAGACAAAGTAGGTTTTTTCGAGGACCCGTTGCTTGCCAATGAGAGCAGTATGTTCCTTATATGAGGGCAGCCCGCCTGATTGTACTGGCTTGATTTGTTTTGCCTTCTTGTTCGAGAACGTCACGTTCCTTTGGTGCAACATCGTCAATTACAGTTCTTGATGGAAAAACGGCCGGCCTTGCATGACAACCCGATTACTTGAGCTTGCATCCTAGTGATCTTTCTCATATCGTCCCTTTTGCAGATTATGCGTGGCGCGCCTACATCATCCCCTCCTTCCAGAGGCGAGCTCGCCAACCTGCCCAAACTTCTGCCTCAAGAGGGGCTGGCTACTCTTGCTACCGCACGTACCGATGTGAGCACTCACTCTTTAGTGCAGCCACCAGCATCGCTCGTAGCTCATCACTCCTCGTAGAAGGCCTGCAGCTCATCTGAGTCTTCGATTGCATAGTCAAGAGACAGACGACCCTCGGTGTCATAACCTGCGAGGAAGTGCACCCCAAACATCTGGCCAGGGCCCTCCACCTTGATATCCCGTCCCTTTCTCCAGCCCTGGAACACGGCCGGCCAATCGAGCCTTCTTGGCCAAGCGCCGCATAGGTACCGTTGGGAAGCGGCCTCGACTGCCTGCGTGACAACATCGACGAACATCCTGGCCGACTCGCAAGCACCTTCTTCGTCTTCGATGATCTGAAATAGAGCTCTGATCTGCTCGTCCGACAAGGCTTGATCTGCTTTGGCAGCCATCAGCTCAGGAATTGGTGCTATCGGCGGCGAAAGCGTTCTCCTAAGTGCGCGTTAACTGAGCGGAGACCCCCGCAGGTCGACGCCATGGAGGGAGCCTTGAAATGTGAACCGACCCCTCTCTTGCTTCGCAGCGCAAGCGTGTCTTCATTCTCATGAGCACCGTCCATTTGCAGGTACCAGCGTCACAATTGCAAGGCCGGAAGCGGTCCTTGGACGCGAGGAGTCCCGAGGACGATGCGCGGGCGCGCGAGGACGGCGGCGAGCAGGCGACACCAATAGATGAGGTGAGTGTCGTATACACAGGAGGATTACTTCTGTTGTGGAACACTTTCATGGGGAGCCAACCACATTTTCTTCTACTTTGAGGCCTTCAGCTGAAAGGGGGCGGCAACTGGTGTGGCGGCGACAGAAAGAACGATCTGGCGTCATTGTTCCCGTTTGTTAACGGCTTGGCTTGGCTTGATGTTTGCTGACATCACAAAGTAGGCCCGAGACTCAGAAGGCACGTCAGAATCTCGGACACTCGGACAGGGGTGTTGGCAGTGTATTCTCAGCCCATCTCGCAATCTTGCCTGATGTAAACTTGCTGACGTCACAAAGCAGGCCCGATTCCAAAAGGCACGTCAAGATCTCGGACACTCGGACAGGGGTGTTGGCAGCCCTTTCGTGTGCAACTTAGCTTGCCATGATAGTCGTTGACGTGACAAAGCAGGTCCATTTATAAGGCAAGGTTCTATCGATCAGTCGCAGACGTGTTTTGAAACCAGTAGCGGGTCACCTGCTTCATTGATTCTTCTAATTTCAGCGCATGCATACCCGTGCAGGCGAGTAGCAGCATTGACCGGCGGGCGCTGCCCCCCTCCAGCGAGGACGAGGCGCAGGAGACGGAGTCGGAAGGGGAGGGCGAGAACATCGAGGGGGCAGAATATGAGCCCCGGGACGGAGTCGGACGAGGAGACCCCCGAGGATCGCGCGATGATTGATGACGCGCCCCGGAAAGAGGATGAATGAAGTGGTGCGGTACGGTCAGATGAACGCCGCTTTGGAGACGGATTCCGAGAATGAGGGCCTCTCCCAGGTCCTGGCGAAGCTCAAGCGGCGCGCGCCTGATGGGGCGACCAAGCCCCTCCAAAATCGCCGCCGCCGTCGCGTGGTGTACTCATCGCCCGACTTCTCGGACGAGGATGACAGCCCGTCTTCGGGTCGCAGGCACGTTGCGAGCGCCGGGCACCTCCCCGTGCCAGTCAAAGGGGACGTGCCCGTGATGGAGTGCCCCATGCCAGACGACCTCCCTCCGTTGCCCGAGGACGACGACTGGTCGGACGACCTCCCGCCAGAGCCGGAGGAGGTGGACTGGCTGGACGATGGATCTGACTGGAGGCTGGAGGACGCGTTCGACAAATCGTGCGCGATTGTGCCGCAACCGCGCGGAGCCAACAACCGGGTAAGCACCCTCCTCCGATTTCATGCGGCCACGATCTTGGAGTTAAAAGCTTTTTGGGCACCTAGCTGCTGGCATTAAGGCCTTGTTGCGTGCCTAGAAAGTAAGCGTGCAAAGTGCAACAAAGTTGCAGAAGAGTAGGAAAATCTTTAATGCATTCGTGTACATTTCCATGCATTCAGCAAAAACTGATGGCTAATGTTCGTGTACATAGCCATACACTTCGTGTACATAGCCATTCAATCGCCAACTTAATAATTGATGTACACGAAAGCCGAAGCGAATCTCGAGCTTTTGAGGATCGGACAGCTCCAAGCGGTTTGCAATGTTGAGTCTAGATGGCAGCGGCTGTTCGAGTGTCCGAGTTTTTGACAAACGTTTTTTGAAGGAGGCTCTTTGATCACGTCAGCAGCTATCCCTCGGATTGTTTCGCCTGTGATCAATGCGCACGAACGTGTCCGAGTGTCCGTATTTGACAAACGTTTTGAAGAAAGCCTCTTGGATGACGTCAGCAGCCATCGGTGGCGCTTTTCGCCTGTAATTGATGGCACGAAGGTGTCCAAGTGTCCGAGTTTTTGACAAACGTTTTCAAGGGAGCCTCTTGGATGACGTCAGCAGCCATCCCTCGCACTTGTCGTTTGTGATTGATGGCACGAAGGTGTCCGAATGATCGAGTTTTGACACGCGTTTTTCAAGGAACCCTCTTCGATGACGTCAGCAGCCATCCCCGGCACTTTTTGCCTGTGATTGATGGCACGAAGGTGGCCGAGTGTCCGAGTTTCTGACAAACGTTCTTGAAGGGGCCCTCTTTCAAGACGTCAACAGCCATCCTTGGCACTTTTTCGCCTGTGATTGATGGCACGAAGGTGTCTGAGTGTCCAAGTTTCCGATAAACGTTCTTGAAGGGGGCCTCTTCCATGACGTCAGCAGCCATCCCCCAAAATGGTTTTGCCAAGCTAGTAGCCCATTTCAAATGCTTCCTTGGGCCGCCGGAACCGACCCCAGCTGACGCGGGGGACCCGTCGCGAGTCAACCCCAATCGTGGCCGCCGCTCATCACTTTCACTCGCTGGGCGTGGCGTCACTGACGTTCAACATGAGGCTCTTTTTGAACGAGAAGGGCGAAGAGAAGAAAGCGGCCGCCGGCCTCATGCGCAATTGGCAAAAGGTTGACCTCGGCAACTGCTTGCGCGAAGGGGTCCGGCTTGGCAAAACCTGCCTCGCCATCCTGACGGAGCCCTCCGACATCTATGCCCTTGACGTCGATACGGGACAACGGGGCGGAAGCCTTCGAGCGATTGCTGGCAGAGCACGGCCCTTTGCCCGACGACACCCCCTGGGAGTGGTCGGGGAAGCGGCCTGGGAAACACTTTCTCTTCTCTTTGTCGCAAACAAAGGCCGCTGGCTTGCTGAGTGGCGCCGGAAGAACGGGTCTGATCTACAATGGCCAAAAGGGTTGGCCCGACATGCGCGGCGAGGGGGGTATGCTCTTCGTGAGCCCCAGCAGCTACAAGGGCTTGGACGGCACGGTCCGGCGGTACGAGTGGGTGCAGGAGATCGCCCCAGAACGCTCCAACCTCCGGGCCATGCCGGAGTGGCTGATCGAGATCGTCAATGCAAGCGGCGCGCCTCCAGCTGCATCGAGGTACATCACTTTCTCATGTAGGACAAGAAGCCTGTAACGGGTCGAAGTCAGGTTCCATGCCTGTGTGCCAACATCCGGCATTCAGTGCTTGTCGATGCTTGTTTTCACACGCACGGTCTGCCGTGTGGCATTCTGAGCAGCCTTCTGTTTTGGTGTGCATGAATCCTTTCGGAGGTCGGTAGCCATCGTAGCCGGAGAGCTACAACTGCTCCCTACATCTGGATTTTCTGTGCATTCACTTTTTGCTTTTGAACCCTAGTGCACAGGCCTGCGCTGGCAGACTTGATTAATTCTAGGAAGAACTGCATTGAAACAAGCTAGTCAGCTTCTTGCCGTGAATCTGAGGTCGAGCGAATGGGTTGACAAGGATTCGCAAGCTGCTTGAAGCAAAAGTTGACAGTATGAGCTCCGTGCAACGAGCATCATTTCGAGCCAGGCTTACATCTACTTCCGTTTCAACTACCATTCTCCGTTGTATTTCTTTGCAGACCGGCATTTGGGCCCCCAGCTCGACCAACTGACGACTCCGGTGTGGACGAGATCGAGCTGCCCCCTCCGCCAGCTGTTCTGGAGCGCATTCAGAAAAGCCTCGCGGCCGCTGGAGACTCCAACTCATGCTTTGACAAGCTCAAGAGGTCTTCTGGGGGCGACATGTACGTGTTCCGCGTCAATGGCGCACGCGTGTGTCCGTACGAGGCCAATCACAGCGGCTCCAACAACTTTTGCGTCCTCGTGCGGGGTCGCAACCTCCTCTACAAGTGCAACAGCCCAGAATGTTGTGACATTCACCCGCCGCGCAAGATCGTTGAGCTCACGGCAAAAGAGAGCATGATGGGGGGCGAGACAGCCCCAGTTTCTGAGGACGACCCGACCGTGTACAAGGAGCTGACGAAGCCATTCGTGGACTACTGGGCGTTCAGAGGTGACATGGGCGGCAGTCGGATCGTCGCACAGATGTACTCGAGGTGCCACAGGTGGTATCAACCACTCCTTTTCTCTGTGGTAGCCGTTGCGACGTTGGAAAACTTAATATGAACAAAGCTGCAGCCATTGTTTCCATCCTGTTGCCTTCTAGCTCATTTTTGGGAGAAAGTGTCTGAGTGCATCTCGCTCAATCCTTGTTGTAACCATTGTCTCGTATTGTCTCCTTTGTCTCAATGTCCGAGTTTCAGCTTACCTTTTTGGGTGGGGAGCTCGGGATGGCGCCAGCATCTCTTTCACCTGGCGTTTGTTGTTATTGAGAGCATGCACTGTGTTCCGTGTCCAAGTGTCCGAGTTTCAGTGAACCGTTTTGGGTCGTGAGTTTGGGATGAAGTCAGCATCTATTCCACCTGGGGTTCGTCATAACTGAGAGTTTGCACTGTGTCATGTGTCCAAGTGTCCGAGTTTCAGCGAACCTTTTTGGGTCGTGAGCTTGGGATGACGTCAGCATCTAATCCACCAGACGTTCACTGAAATTGAGAGCCTGCACTGTGTACCGTTCCAAGTGTTCGATTGCTGCCAACCTCTTTTCTTCAGGAGCTCGGGGTGACGCCATCAGCAATTCTACCTAAAGTTCGTCGTAGTAGAGAGCCTGCACCGTGTCCATGTGTCAAAACGTTTTCTGTTTAGGAGCTCGGGATAACGTCAGCAGCCACCGGCCGTTGAACGTTCCGTTATGTCGAACGCTACGGCTTGTAAGCGCTGACTTTTGAGAAGGCATTGACGGCGTTATAGCCCCAAGAATGACACCTTTTTATGAGTTGCAGGATCTGGAACGACGGGAAGACTTGGTGGATGTGGGATGGGAAGCGTTTCAAGCAGGCTCCTGTCGAGAGGGTCAAGTTCGTCTGCGTCCACCAGCTCAGCACCGTGTATGCTCGAGTTCGAGCCGAATTGAAAGAGCAATTGAGCGTAACTATTGACGAGGAGGAGAAGATGGAGCTCAAGAAAGCTCTTGACAAAGTAAGACGATACTACGACGCTGGCGAGATCAGTTCGACCCTGACGATCATGACGGGGGAGATGGCTCTGGATCTGGTTGGGGAGCTGGACTCCAATCCAGACATCCTCAACGTCCAAACGGGGTCATAAACCTGCGCACCGGCGAGCTGGACATCCACAGGCCGGAGTACCTGTGCACGAAGCTGGCTGACATCAACTACAAGGTGTTTTGCTTGCACGTTGTGGCTTGTTTCCGTCTTCATGCAATTTTTCAGGATGGCATATCGTCGAAGTTCTGGTGCAGAAAAGAATTGTGAGAGAGAAATACTTGTTGAGTCTCTCTTTTGTCCTTGCGATCGCTCCTTCTCAGGACAAGCATCCGTGCAAGTCACTTGGGGACCAACTTACCAAAAAGAGTCCAGACGTTTTGTGTTGAGGCTTAGCGCTCTATTTCTTGATTTTTTCGGTTCAGGTTGGCGTCCCTTCCTCAAGTGCTGACCATATTTCTGCCTGGTATGTACATGCATCAGCGCAACGCCTGAATCTCAAGGCAAGGCGTTGATGCTTCACGGCGTATTTGTGCTTTCTTACGTGTCTTTGTGCTTGATTGCAATTGCGCTTGTCCGCGCGGCGTCTTTCAAAGGAGTCCCGGTTAGAGGCAGACGTTCTTTGACTCAAGGGATGCCAATACGAATTTGACCGAGCAGTCCAAATCGTTCTTTGCAGGGGCTACATCACCCGACGCCCATCCTCAAGGGCTTCCTGGACGACATCTTCAACGGGGACCGAGCGTTGATCGACTTCATGCAGAGGCTCTGGGGTTATGCCATCAACGGACGTACCTCGGAGGAGATCATTGTGTTATTACTCGGAAGCGGCGGTACGTCTTTCCCTCCTTTGGCTCCGATTGTCTTCGTCCAACTGCTCCTTTTTTTCTTTTGGCCGTGTTTGTCAACTGAGATCGATGGCGCGAACGTGTCCTAGTATCCGAGTCTTGGACGCCCTTTCCAGGTCGACCCCTCTGCTGACGTGAGCAAAGTTTCCACAAAAACCCCTGTGACTGGTGGTGAGAAGATGCTCCAGTGTCTCCACTTTTTTAACACACCTTCTGTGCATCCTTTTAGATTGTAGGTCCGAGTCCTAGGCTCAGCCTAGGACAATAGATTTCGACCCCCTTGGATGACGTCAGCAGCCATTCTCTGCACTTTCTACTTGTAATTGATGGCGCGAAGGTGTCCAAGTGTCCGAGTTTTGACCGAAGTTGTGAGGTCGACCCCCCTGATGACGTCAGCAGCCGTTCCCTGCACTTTTACTTGTAATTGATGGCGCGAAGGTGTCCAAGTGTCCGAGTTTTTTGACGAAAGTTTTGAGGTCGACCCCCTTTATGACGTTAGCAGCCAACCCCTGCACTTTTCGCTCGTAATTGATGGCGCAAAGGTGTCCAAGTGTCCGAGTTTTTTACGAAAATTTTGAGGTCGACCCCCTTGATGACGTCAGCAGCCATTCCCTGCACTTTTCGAGTGTAATTGATGGCGCGAAGGTGTCCAAGTGTCCGAGTTTTGGACGAAAGTTTTGAGGTCGACCCCCTTTATGAGTCAGCAGCCATTCCACCAATAGTCCACTGTGATTGGTGGCGCGAACGTTTCGAGTGTCCCAATTTGTTGAGCACTCGCCTTCCTTTCGTTGCTCTAGAATGATGTCACCAACCATCCTTGACCGATGATGTGCTGGGATAAATGATCACGCCCATTTTGCTTTCATTTGTTTGTCCATCACGAATCCTCTAGCTCCATTTCAGATGCCCGCTCACGTGCTTTTCATCCCCTTTCTCGTGCAGGGAATGGCAAAGGAGTATGCAAGCAGATGCTGGAGACCACGCTGGGCGATTACTACGGCGTCATGTCCAAGGACGCCGTGGTCAAGGCCCCCGGACAACACCCGCCGTCCAAGGGCGCCGCCACGGGCTACCTCGCCGAGCTCCAGGGGAAGCGGGTGGCCGTGACGGACGAGACGAGCCCGGGCGAGCGCGTTGACCTAGGGAACGTGCTCATGATGACCGGCGGGGGCAAGGTCTCCTCCCGGCTCCTCTACCAAAACAACGTCTCCTTCCGCTTCACCCACACGCCCTTCATCCAGACCAACTACGACCCCGAAATCCCCCCGACCCTAGCCAAGCAGCCAAACATCGACCGCCGCCTCATCGTGGTCCGCTTCCCAAACGAGTACGTGACCGAGAACAAGTTTGACGAGACCAACCCAAACCACAGGCACGTGGACATTGGGTTGAAGGACCGGATGGAGAGTCAGGCGGTCCGCGAGGAGTTCCTTACGTTCCTCGTCCAGGGAAGTCGGGCCTGGTACGAGGACCCCACGGTCTTGCGCACGCATCCGCCGGCCGTCCAGGCGGCCTCGATGGCATGGCTGGGGCGCGGAGACAAGCTGCAGATCTTCCTGCAGTCGGAGCACTGCGTGCACGACCTGCCGGAGACGCCCGACAATGCCAAGACCGTCACATGGGAGGACGAGTTCTGGACGCAGTTCCAGAGATTCACGGGGGTCAAGATTGCCAAGGAGGAGTTGGCTAGGCAGATGCGAGAGAAGGGTTTGGCGAGAACGAAGCGAGCCGGCCGTTATGACGGGTCATCCCAGCGGAGCTCATGCTACGTAGGCTTCAAGTGCGAGTATGATTGACGATCTGCGCCCGCCCTTAGAGCCAATTACCGTCTTTCTTTTGGCCTTGCTTGAATTGGTAGAGCACAGGTTCTGAGATGTACATATTGCCCTCCTTTTTAGAGAAAGCTTAGATGCCCTAGGTGTGACTTGTAGTAACACCCTCACTTTGGTATTTATTTTGTATGCCTTTGGGAAGAACCTTACCAACCCTGCGGATGTACCAATGTACATTGACAACTCTCAAAGACTCTTTGCTTTAGCCAATTGGATTTGCACGTAATGTCAAATTAGTAGGTCTACAATACCACACATCATGGTTGTAAACCTCGTGTACAACCCCATGTTTTTCGAGTGGAATGGAATGGCTGATGCCCCATGTCAAAGTCTTGGTCTAAAACTCGAGTAGCATAGTTGCACTACTTTTAACAGCCATAGGCCAGGCCTACGGTTGCAAATTGAACTGCGGCTTATCGTCAACCGAGCCAGGAGCCTTGCCAAATTAAACCTTCGCGCCGTCAATCATTGTGGAAGGGTTGGGGGAATGGACGCTGACGTCATCAAGCATGCTCGACTCAAAAAGGTATGTGAGAAACTCGGACGCTCGGACACCTTCGCGCCATGGATTACAACGATCATTGGCGGCATGGCTGCTGACGTCATCAAGGGGGTCGCTCTCAAAAGGTACGTAAAAACCTCGGACGCTCGGACACCTTTGCACCGTCAATTACAATGGATCGTTGGCGGCATGGCTGCTGACGTCATCAAGCATGGTCGACCCAAAAAGGTACGTGAGAAACTCGGACACACCTTTGTACCATTCTTTACGATGCAATATTGCTGGCATGGCTGCTGACGTCATCAAGCATGGTCGACCCAAAAAGGTACGTGAGAAACTCGGACACTCGGACACCTTTGTACCATTCATTATGGTGCAATATTGTTGGCATGGCTGCTAATGTCATCAAGCATGCCGCTCGACCCAAAAAGGTATGTGAGCCTAACTCGGAGACTCAAACACCTTCGTGCCATTAGTTTAACGGTTTTATCGACGCTTATACACTTAGGGCCAACGCTTGGACCAAAGAACGTCATCTCTCGACCTTGCAATGGAGCAGCTCCCCGATGGCCACACGCTATGCCGAGCGGTTAGAGTGACCTTCAACAATAGACAGGATGCAGTTCGTAATTTGAGGGTCGGCCAAGAGCTCGTGCTCCTGAAGCATTTGGGAAACGGCTTCGACTCATATGCAATTGCCATCTTCCACTCGGCCGATTGCAGTATGCCACTCGGCTTCATTGGACGCGGTGATAAGCACCACGGAGTTTTCGAGCCTGTTCGTGCGGGTCTGGGGTTGCCAGCAAGAGTCTATCGTATCAACCGAGGCAGGGGCGGCCGCGGGCCATGGGGTTTCACAATAGCAATCATTGCGGACTCTGCAGACTGCAGCAAGATGGCTCCTTCTCTAAATGTTACATCCATTTGTCAGATTGTCATCAAGAGACCAGGAGAATCACGGGGCTTGGAAGAAGAATGAGCAAGCGTGTAACATTTCTTTTGTCGAACGTACTATAGCCTCACGATGGATGCAATCTTGGGCTATCGTCCTCCAACAACGTTTGCAATCGAGCAGATGGATCGAGCTGTCTTTGAGAGTGGAAAGACCGCAATAGTGAGATTCTATAGAGAGTTTGGGATGCTTGAAACGATTCTTGAACCAGCAGCCCTAGCGGGAATCCGCGCCCTCGCCGAACCGTTCAATCTGCGTCACATCACTCGAGCGCTAGCACGATCCCTAAATGCTGAAGGGTTTCACTCTTACTGGGATCGAAGCGGCATCCATGGTCCATTTGCTGTCAAGGTCAGTTGGCGGGTTGCCCTTAAGAACGCGTCTCGCGCTCAACGTCAAGCAAAGAAGCTACGCTCAAAGGAATCCCAATCAAAGAACATGTTGCATGAACGAGAGTCGGATCTTGCAACCGCTTGCACAGACATCCGAGCCCGTTCTCCATCGAGTGCCCAATATGCCCCTAGCATCGTGTGGAGTGAGGCACCAATCTTGGAATTAGAGGCGCTTGCAAATCCCAACAAAATTCGCCATGCCACCGAATCCCCACATGGCAATGCCTCTCCCACATACTGAATTGCTGAAAAGGCCCCGTTTTAGAGATTCTGTACACCCATATTCGTGTATCTGGCAATATTCAGATATCGGCCGATAGTGGAGTGGCGTAAAAGCCCCTATGCCGGGTTTTAGAAGTCTTTGCGTGTGAGATAACCATGAAAAGCTCCTAGACGCACCAAAACCGTGAAAAGAAAGATGAACACGGAAATTCGGTATCTGAGCACTTCGCGGCCAGATGCCGTTCATCTTTTTTTCCTCAGTATCTAGATACCCTAGGCATGACAGCTTCAGATGCAACCACAAAGGTTATAAGAACCTCGTTGTCAACAGAACAGCTGCTCCGCAACGTGTTTGATGATTTGACACGAAAACCA